GGGAGAGAAGCAACAAATATTCTCATTCACTCACTGCTGTGAACCTGACAATAAATACGTGCTTAAAAAATAAATCAATTCAATGGCTATTTCAGAAGAATCCAGGTTACAAAGTATCCTATGACAAATGCATGCCAAGCCCCGGTTCCAAGTCACCTTCTTTTATCTCCGGATTCCCCTCCTCTGACTTCTTTCAGTGCATCCAAGTCCACGCAGTATTTACCACTCAGTAGCTTACCTTGCAGGCGATCAGTGTCAACACCTTATTTTCCTGACTGAACGCTACAGAGCAGAGACCGTATGTAATGAAAATTTTCTATCTTCCCACAGCATATCACATACTTTGCTTTTATCAGGCAATAATTACTAAATGAATCAAATGAAAGTAGATGCCTTAGTAAAGTGGGTGGCAAAAACAATTTGTTCAGAATTCCTGGACAATACCTGGAGGCCAACTGGCATTGCTGGATTTACTTCCGATTTTATTTGTTGGTGGAGATTTGGCAGGTAACCAGCTATCACCAGCAGGACCCGTATGGCCACCCAGTGTGTCACCTGGGATGATATCAAACTGGTTGTATGGTGACCCTCCTCGGGTCTTACCAGGGGCCACTATAGCGCCTGACAGAAGAGAGAGGAAATTAATTCACATTTGGAAAGGACTCCTGTGAATAGAACTTATCAATCTTTTATTTAGAGAAACTCAAACAAATACAGTATTCTGAAGCTTATGTAGTAGAAAGAGTACTAGGATGAGGGGTCACACTTGAGATCCAGCATATAATTAATAAGAGGGATGATCATGAACAATTCATTTCACTTTTCTGAGCCTTTCAGTTTCTCACTCATGCACAAAGCACTATTTTCATTCTTGAATGTTCCTTTCAGTTTTAAAATTCCATGGTCTTATGAAGTTAACTAAACTTTCATAAACTACAAATCACACCACTATCCCCACAGTTTCTATACTAATGACTAAAGAGAAATAATAAGAACATTAAACAACTTGCAGCACATAAGAAGGCTTTTTAACTACATTTTTATCGACATTACCGACCCACCCAAGTTCTTCAGTGCTGATCAGGCCTAGTTTTGCTGGCAGAAGCAATATAAACGTAGGGAAGTCCACTGGAGAGAAAAGCATCTGCAATTGCTTTAAATTCCAAAGCCATGAGATGGAATTCCTGCCTAGGGTCTTTGCCAGCACAAGACCAGCAGTGAACTCTGCAGCTCTGAGATCCATGGCCCCACACACGAAGAACAGCAAATCCTTTGTAAGTACTTTCCTGAGAGCATTTCAGCGGTTTTGTCAGCGCCCGCTTCATACATTTTATATGCCACGAGGCAGGAAAAAATCAAATGCTTAAAATTCCCTTCAACTAACAAAAAAATGAGCTTTACTTTAAATAACATTTTTAGCCTCCGTGAGATACCATTCTACCTATTTCTCAAACAAATTTTACATGTTGTATTGTGTCACTCGATCTATTCTTAGGGTCCTATTTGTGAACTGATAAAATTAGTTCCAAGGCTATGTATTTGGTTTGGCCTAGCAGGACTATCAACAAAACTATCTCCATGCTCAGCTAAGAAGTCACTGACTTTCTGGAGCCTCTGAAAGAAATCTGATCCGAGGGCACAGTCCAGGGTAGCCGTAGAGCACGAAAAGCTCGAGTCCCTTGGAGATTGCTAAGGAAATGGGGAAAATATTACCTGTTAGCTCTAAAAAGGCAAGCGGCTGTCCTACCTTCGCGATAGCCTCTCACCGGCCATTTTGTACTTACTGTCCTGCACCTATCAAGTCTTTGGGGAAGGAAGCAGTGTAAGTGCCTGAAGCTATAGATGATGGGCTTGGATTATTGAGTTCAGAAACAGATCTTAGTTTCTAACAAATCGTTCTTCATTTTGTGGCACAAAATCAAATGACACGATTTGGGATAGCAGGCAGAGAGCTCCAAGTGGCCACTTGAGCAGCCGCTGGGTGGGCATGTTTTTAAGAATGGCTTATAAAGGCCATGGCAGGCTGCAGAATGACGGGGTGAGGTCTGCCAGGGAGCTGCAGCAGCAGTCCCACTCCTATTTATACTTGGTTCTCATAGACAGAGTGGAGTCCAAGCCAACATTGAAACAAAGGGTGAAGGAAGACTCCAAGACCTTCTATCTGTCTTACAGGGAAATGGAGAAGCTCTTACAGAGAACTTTGGAGATGAAGGGCTGACCCACATTTACAACCAAAGCCTAGAATGCCCTCAATTGCTGTAATCCATAAAGAGCAAGAAAGCTTTGTGGAAAGTTCAAATCTCATGTATTGATTGATCTATTAGTCATCTTTTGGAGGTTGAAAGGTTCAAAAATCAATGTATTTGTTGTGATCTCATGCACCTAAAAAAAAACCTGTTTTTGTTCTCTCAGCCAATTCATTAGGGTTTTATCCTAAATGGGTGCTTAAATTCGCTTCTACTATTCTCAATCCCGTCCCATCACAGGTGGGAAGTTTTGCTCTCTTTATTTTTTTATTTTTTATTTTTAAAATATATTTTATTGATTTTTTACAGAGAGGAAGGGAGAGAGATAGAGAGTTAGAAAAATCAATGAGAGAGAAACATTGATCAGCTGCTTCCTGCACATCCCCACTGGGGATATGCCGGCAACCAAGGTACATGCCCTTGACCGGAATCAAACCTGGGACCCCTTAATCTCTAGGCCGATGCTCTATCCACTGAGCCAAACCAGTCAGGGCAGGTCAATTCAATTTTAATAAGACATATATAGGGGACCCCTCAGTCCGCAGGCCGACGCTCTATCCACTGAGCCAAACCGGTTTCAGCAGTTTTGCTCTCTTTAATTAAAACTAGCATTCTTATAATTTGAATCTTCCTTCATAGGCAACCATAAGATTTTTTGGGGAGAAATTAAGAGGCTTGCTAAAAAATAAAGCTAAAAATCCATGCTTTAAAATAATTTTACAGGACACTTCAAGGCCTGCTGAGGGTCAGAAGAGCTCCAACTCATAATGCTTTGCTTGCTCTTACCATTTTTGTGCATATTGGCTTCCTGTGTGGCTACAGAGGGCAGTCCCTCCATCATGGAGGTCCACTGTTTAAAGCGAGACTCTGTCCCAGCCTCTTTCCCGCCAACCATGCCATAGTCCATGCCGCCAGAGCTGAAGCCTAAAACAGACAACCACATTTTATGTCTTTCTATAAATTTCTAGTATCAGTAACAAGAGTTCTGAGGCAGAACCCATGAATGGATTCATTTGTAACTTAAAGACTAATTCTCAAGGAGTTTCATTCAGAAACAGACATTTTAATTCAAAATACTGATCTTGGTCTTGCTTGCTAAAAACATAACGACTCTGTTAAGGTATGAAAATGTGTATGACTGCCATATAATTAAGACCATCTCACTCACCTATTAATTTAGCTGACATTTATGCCAAATAAATGTTGGGGCCAGTGATTCTCCAACTGAGGTGGAGGTGTCCACACATTAAACTAATACAGAATAAGAGCAGCTATGAGATTGTGGTAAGGGTACTTGGGGAGGAAAGGCTTTGCAGAAGAAGGGAAATTTGACCTGGGGCCTAGGTAAGTATGTGAGGAAATCAAGGAAACCAAGTACAAAGCTCTAACTCATGACAATATTTGAGGAATGAGAGTACGGTGTAATTCCAATGCTTGGCTGGCTAACTATGGACGAAGTGAGGCAGAATGGTAGGAGATGCGGGAGAAATGAAGAGTCATGTCATGCAGGGTCTTTATATATCAGGTAAAGGAGTTTGGACCTTTTTTCCTCTAAGACAGGAGATAAAGAAAATTTTAAGCAAGTGAGAGAGCAGTAGCTAGGTTTGTATTTTAGAAAGAGAACTGGCAAGGTGAGAATGGGTAGTTGAAGGCCAGGATAGAATCTGAGAGATCAATTTGAAAAAGTGTTTATGCAGTGATGCAGATCCCAAAGCTCGAATATGTTATTAGTAAGAGGTTCAGAGCTGACTTTGCCATGAGCCCCCACGTAAGCCTCGGGTGTCAGACTTTCCCCAAGAGTTTTGGTGGGTAATGCTTTCCCACTGCAGAGGGCTGGACAGGAGAAAGCCAAAGTGAGAGACTCGTTGATGGAGTTTCACAAGGTCCACCATCCATTTTGGATCAGAATGTACTTAATATTTTTTCAAACCCACTGTCATAAAAGTAAAATAAAGGACTAAAATAAAGCAATGAAACAGAGAAGGGGAAGAGCAATGAATAACCAGAGAGACGATTAAGAGCTATAGTAAGTGTAGCAACCCAGAGAGGTGATCAAGGTTCCCCATGCCGAAGCTCAGGTGGCTTACAAGAGCCAAAGCCAATCTATTCTGAATGTGCAGCTCTAGCCATGCAAGACTCCATGCTGCATCCATTTTATTCTCCTACCATCTGCTGGTGTCTTATTGGTCCCTAAATACCATTTATCCATATCCCACTGAGGGTCCAGGATATGTTTTTCCCCCTGTGCTTCTCCTAGTTGTCAGGTATAGTTTTACAAATGCATAATAAATCAAGTTCAAGTCCATTTCTAACACCCTCTTGACATGTTCAAAATGTTGCTATAAATATAAAGAACTCTGTTCTTTCACACTGTAACTGACTTCACTAGTCTAAGTAACTGAAGGGTGGAGAGTAGAAATCCTTGGTGTGAGCTGAAATTATTTCAAATTAAACAATTTTTTAAAAATAGGGTTTAATATATTTTCATCTTTTGTCCTATGTTGCTGAGTTGAAATAAGACTGGAGGGCAGGGAAGTTGAACGGAACAAGGGCTTTCTCTGACATAAGCTTTAATGGCCTAAGTGTGTTGCTCCTTGGGCAAATTACACCTCTACCTTTGACAGAGAAAACCAGCCCAAGGTGCTTGGATTCCAGGCCATCTGAAAGCTGGTTCCAGTCATTGAGAAAGAGCTTTTGAAAATAACTCAGGATTCTGGTGAAGATTAAAAACAAGAATGTAGGGATTAGTAAGAGGATAAGGAACCATTCCTTACACATTAATTTTCTTTAACGTTGCTCTAAAATTTCTCTAAAACTCGTAGGGAATTAAAGGTATTAAATTTCAGCTGTTTAGAGTTCTTTTGTGACACATGAAGTGTAGAAAATTAGTAAGAGTTATAAATCATAGGAGAGGGAAGAGTTTCAGGAGTCCATCTGAACCTTAAGCAAAGTGGGCATCATTCTCATTAGAAACTTGGGGATCAAATGCCACCAAAATATAGCAGCACCATAACTAAATAACAAGGTTTGGTAAGGAAAACAATTAAAGGGGTGACAGGAAGGACAGAAGATGAAACTGCCTTGAAGGGTTCATCGTACAAACCCAAAACCATTGAGAGGAAAAAAAATCAGTGCAAGGTTGTACATGACTCTTTCTTTCTCGATGTCATACAGTGTTGGCATGACATCAGGACACAGAATGCACTCAGCAACTCTGGAGGGAGGGATTCTGGGGCGCTGTGCTCTGTGGCTGCATTAACAGGAAGCAGAGGAGCACACCACTTGTGATCTCTGGGCTACTTATGAGCTATCATACCGCTAAGCCCAGGAAAAATCTGACTTTATTACACTTGCTATTTCATTAAAACCAAGCTGTCCACCAAGTGGACTCCCTGCAACTCTCCAGTTCACCAACACTTTAACTCAAATCAAACAAACCACTTAGTTCAGTTAATGAATATTTATGGAGAGCCTAATTTGTGCCAGGTTCTATGTTAGCAACAGGTACAGAGAGATAAGACATGCCCCTTGCCTTCCCAGGGACTCATTTCACCAGGATATCCCTTTTAGCTATCTTATCATTCTTACAAAAACAACCCTTTGTGTATCTTATCTGTCCTTTCTCCGGCTTCCATGCACCTAAATTCATCATCTGTTCTTCACTACCACTTGGCTCAGTGCTTAGCATCTGCAGGCAACTCTCTCAAATGAACTTGTCCCTCATTGTTCCCCCTTCACTCCCTGTCTGTAGTTTTCTATTTTCTGCTACTCCTTTTATTGTAGATTAAAAAACAAACTACTGCTTTTGTAATAATTATAATAAACACATTACAAGAGAAACAAATCACCCACAGTTGCTCATTTAACACAACAGTTCTAATCCATGTCCACATGTACATGATATTGTCACATTCATAGATACAAATTACTCTATTTTAAAAACCTGTAATATTCATAACTTTACTTTCCACTAGGTATGCACACATAAATATTATAAATTTTGATACATTTTAAACAAAAAATAAGATTTTATTGGAAATGCATTTTCTATTAAGATGAGTGACTGTTTTACCGATTAGTTCAGCTACTAATGACTATGGCTTATTACTAAAATGAGATCAAATTCATGCTACTTTATGCCTATTTTTACAAATTTTTATAGACATAAAGCACTAATAAATTTTATATGAATAAGCAAATTGGAAAAGAAGGAGTCTTGGTATAACATCACTTACTTCTTTTTAAGTTTTTTAAAAAATAATATCACTTATTTTTTTGAATTCTTTCTAAAGTATCCCCCCCCCCCTCCAGGGTTTGATAACATATATACTAAAACATAACTTTTAGATAGGTCATTATCATCTGACAATTTAATTTTTCAATTTTGCTACAAGCAGAGAATTAAAAAAAAAATCCATTTTACAGAAACAATCAATTAAGAATTAGTTAAGCAGTTAAAAGTCATTTAACTTTTTAATTTTGAGAAAATATACCAAAAGAGACTTTATCAAGACTTAAGATAATTTGAATTATTCCTGCTACTTTAACCCACGGGTATCTTTTTTAGATTGATACACTCAGCATTAGAAAGATTAAAATACTATTCATTTTGTTACATCTTTGCCATATAATCTTTTTTGAAAAAAAATTTAATCTGTATAAGCTTGAAATATATTTTCATCAAAATTTATAGCTACAGATTTATTCAAAACAGGCAGCCAAATCAGACTTACTTTGAGTCCCAAAATATATTTTTCAATTTAAATAAGGTAATATACATTAAGAAAAATTATACAAAATGTATCTTGTAAGGAAGATTAAAACTGGTCAGATTACAATTAATATGATAAAGTCCTAATAAAATTAACTTAGCTATTGTTTAAGAAGTTATTAAACGTAAACAGGTTAATAAGTCAATATGTTCTTTCTCCTCGCTTCAATAGGATTTCAGTACATAGCTAAATGTATAAGTTACTTATGAAACAGGAATATTATGAAACAGGAATATGATATAAAAAATTTTTTTTCATAAATGCATATGTGTGTGTATACTGAACTCTAATCCTTTAGCCATTAGGACTAGTTAAGACGAAAACAATAATCACAAATAATACCATTAATCTAACAAGGCATCATGATAAAATTTTTCTATATTCTTAATAAATAAGAAAGGTATATGTGCTAAAAACAGATTCACAGTCAAAGTATAATTTTACTTTTTAATAGGAGGCAGAAAATATTAAAGCTGTTCTAAAGACTGATTGTCACTGAGATAAATACATCATGACTTTAGGTCTTACTAATATATACCTAGATTAAGAAAATCACGTAATAAAGTTTATCCACAGGCTTTACCTGATGCATTGTGAAAACGTGTTTTGTTTTGTTTTTTTAATTATTTTTACTGATTTTTAGAGAGAGAGGGGGAAAACGTGTTTTGTTTTTTAATTATTTTTACTGATTTTTAGAGAGAGAGGGAGAGGGAGAGAGAAGAGAGAGAGAGAAACATTGATGTGAGAGAGAAATATTGCTTGGCTGCACCCCCAACCTAGAGTGGAGCCTGCGACCTGGGCATGTGCCCTGACCCGGAATCGAATCAGAAACCTGTTGGTGCACAAGACAATGCCCAACCCATTAAACCACAAAGGCCAGGGCCGAAAACGTGTCTTAAGAGTACTAAGTGTCAGTAACCTGTATGGTCAAGCTGTTTGAAGGTGCCTTTCTTTCCACCTGAGACATGCTCTAGGGATGAGTACTGAGAAGAGCTGAAAAGAACCATGTGCACTTAAATACGTGGAAAAGCTGCTTGCAACTTTGCAAAAGCTCTCTTTGCTTTGAACTGCCTGGACTCTACTTTGAGAACTACATATTCTTTGACAAAAAGAAATGCAAGAAGCAAAGTTGTCCTGCTTTATTACAACATATGGCAGGGGTGGGGAATGTCCAGCCTGCGGAATCATTTGGTCTGGCTCTGCCAAGGCATTAGGGGTGAGTTAATTAAACGTTTGACCAAATACAGCAGGCTAATTTTTAAGTTGATAATTTTGTATGACCTGTGAATGATGTTATAAATATCCAAATGGTCCTTGGCAGAAAGAAGGTTCCCTACCCCTGGCATATGGTGTCTAAATTCAGAACAACTCAACACATACCAAAACACCCGGGTTCTTATGTCAAGCTTCATCCTTAACAGAAAACATGATGAACAAGCAGACTGGAAACCCAGGAGGTAATGACACCTTCATTAGTTATTACGGGAGGCTTCCTCCTTGCTTGGTACCCTGGTGTTCAATACACAGATGAGCAAGGTATGGGATGGTGGGGAGTCAGCCCTTCTGTGTCAAGTGGTAGAAGGGATATATTGAATTTAAGTCAGTTCTCAGGTCATTTTTAAGAAAGAGTATAACTGAGCCTGGCCAGTGTTGCTAGTAGTTGAGCGTCAACCCATGAACCAGGAAGTCACAGTTCAATTCCCGGTCAGGGCACACACCTAGGCTGGATCCCCAAGTAGGGGGTGTGCAGGAGGCAGCCAATAGATGATTCTCTCTCATCACTGATGTTTCTATCTCTCTCTCCCTCTCCCTTCCTCTCTCTGAAAGAAATAAAAACATATATAAGTAGGTGCCTCACAGAACTAGAGCACAGAGAGCAAGGTCATTGTCCAGGGTCACTCTGCCACCTAGGAGCATGGATTTCAGGTTTTCTTGCTTTGAGTTTGCACAGTAGAGTACCTTCTTTACCAAAATAAAATCTAAATGTGAATCTGAGAAGAAACCTGCTGTGGTGTGGTACGTTTTTAATTTTTAAAATTTATTTTTAAATAACTGTTGCCTCACTGATTGGATTCTGCTTACAACATGTTCCTCAGTTCTGAAACAGCTATGATTTGTCTGCCAAGAAATTCTTTATGAATGTCAAAGGTGTAACCTTACTTGTGCTAATTCTATTTAAATCAGATGAAATACAAATATCAGAAGAATTTTATCAGTTTGCCTTATAAATTTAATTTTAGTTCTCTATTTTTTCAAGAGAAGGTAATTTTATCGGTCAAGTTAAACATCTCAACTTGTATATATTTTAAAATGTTATAACCTCAGGTACCTGTAGCACTCACAGCATATACAAACATTTAAACCAGTTTTAAAAAATTCCTACTTCTTGGGAAGCAGACTGCCATTCATCCATATAAAAAGACTGCTTTTCAGTCAGAAGTTGGAGCCCTGTCTTTGCTATTTACTCATTGTATGGTAAGCTTCTGAAACCTATAGAAACTCTCAGATGCTGATAACTCAGATACCCCTCATCTGTAAGACAGGGATAAGACTATATACACTTTGTATGGCTGTTATGAAAACAGAGGGTAATGTAGGTTCAATCCTTACCATAGGCTTAAAAAAAGGTAATTCTCATTACTAACAACTTACCGGAACCATATCCAGGTATTGGCCCTTTGGTTTGAAGGTCTGGGAGCCCCACATTCAGAGTGTTGGGTACCATGTTGTCCAGATGTGGCTTGGGCCCGACGGGATGAGACGGTGAATGCTTCATGCTCGGCTGCCTCTGCTGCTGCTGCTGCTGCTGCAGTGCACTCACCATTCGAGCCAGCTGGAGGCGGGCAGTCCAGAGCAAGGAGGCCCAAGGGAAAACAGACACACGGTAAGGCAACATCCCGAACTTCACAGGAAAAGATTGCATATGGTTTGTTTTTGCTATCAAAGAGGCTTTGTAGAAATGCACTCCTTACAAAGAGCACTAGAGAGGGACCCTTGCAATCCCATGTACCTGCTGCTCTTGCTGCTGGCGCACAGCTTGAGAAATCTTTCTCTGGTTCTGTAACAACTGCTGCTGTTGCTGCTGCTGCAAGAGAAGCTGACATGCCTACAGGGAAGAAAGAGAGAGGCCCTAAGCTTCCTGAGTCAAGTGTCCACGAGGCAAGTGCCACCAAGTTCTTGGTCTATCGGTCATTTTTACCCCCAGGTGAGCGCACATAAAATGAAGCAAATCAAGTTAAAGAAAAAGTACATAACCATTTCAGTTACGGGAGGAAAATCTGCTACTTACCAACTGAAACTGGGGAATCTGTGGAAGCTGGCTCAGCATGGCAATTTGTTGAGGAGATAACTGGGGCCCCACATTGAAAAGACCTGGATTCAGGCCACTGTTGGGAAACTGCTTGAGCACTGAGGCAGAAACCTAGCCAGAAAAATAAAAACAAAATAAAAAGAACAAAAAAGATGAACTGCCAGAATTTATCAAAATAAATTATTCTTGTGTGGAAATAATCTTAATAGATCTAAAACAAGAGTCAATTTTTTCCTTGAAAAACATTACATGATTGGGAAAATTACATCAAAGAGTTAATAATGATAAGTTATCTCTGAGTGGTGATAGTGTATGAGCTTTTAAATTCTTTTATTAGATTTTCTAATTTTTTTACAACAAAAATGATGAACTTTACAATCAGGAAAACATTGGCAAGATCAGGAAATTTTAATGACACTATGACGTTTGTCTGAGAAATTATTACTCAAAATGTGCCATAAAACACAATGTATCAAGCCGTATAAAGCTACTAAATAAATGCTTAAAAGAAAGTATTTGTTATACAAATTAAAAAATACATCAACTTATAAACAAGAGACACTGGCTCAGCTGGTTCCTTCTCCATGGTTGTCAGGAGTGAGCTAGGCTAGGCTGCAGGACCTCCAGGGGCAGACGCAGGACTCCCTCCCGTATTCCGACTACTCATTGAAGATGTTTTATCTGACCTGAGCTGAGTTTCTCTGCACGTTCTTTCACTGAACCCACTGAATCAGCGGGTGCCAAGGACAACAAACTTAATCCCTCTTCCAGGCGTGGCAAGAAGCACACTGGTCAGGAGTTTATTTAGTTCTGGAGGCAGACTGCACAGGTCTGCCATTTCTTAGGCGTGTGACTCAGGGAAAGTTACTTATTTAACCTTTCTGAGCTTCATTTTCCTTACCTCCCAAATTGGAATAATAATGTTAACTTCAGTGATTGCTTGAGAATTTTATGAGTCAATCCATGTCAAATGCTTAAAAATGCACCCCATAAATGCTTATTTCTCAGGATGGTTTTTCAATGTCTGGAGACAATGATTACAGTTTTCTTGTGTCCCATCTTTAGGCTAAATATGTTTTGTTTGTTTTTTTTTCCACCTGAATCTCATTCAATTTCTCAATGCAGAGCCCAGAACAGAAAGCCATTTCCTAGAATAGTCTAGTACTGAGTAGACGTGGCCACCACTAACCCTTCTGTTAAAAGCCATGCTTTGGTTATTGATGCCTAAGGTCTCAGTTTCTCTGATGATTGCATTAGAACTCACAATTCATATACTAAGCTTATTGTCAATTAAAATCTCAATATTTAAAAATAAAACTTACAATATTTTAAAAAGTTTTGCTCCCCTATATAATATTTAAGCAGCTAGGTTTTAAAATTTTATTAATTTATGCTTTGATCTTAGGACCTTACATTATCTTTATGTGCATGGCACATAGTAGATGCTTGATAAATACCTATTAAGTGAACACTATAGTTTAACTTATTAACAGTCACTCCATCAAATTCTTTTCTGCCTTATTATTCTACTTATTCCCAGTTTTAGTTTCTCCATCTGATCATCGATGAGAATGTTGAACTTGACAGAGCTAAGGATAATCTAGTAATAAAAACTGCCAATAAAAACTCCTTTCCGACCTGAAACTGATCAGCTCGGGAATAGTGTCAGTCAGTCATTTACTAATCCACACAACTGTTTCAGCATTTAGCCTACATTTTCCCACCTTGTCTGAACAAAGAGATAGCTTGTCAATTGGCTTGTCAAAACAGAGATACAACTGTATCGTTCTTATAATCCAAGATATTTTTTTTTTTACCAAAGAAGGAAATGAGTTAAGTCAAAACTTGTTAGCAAGCTATGATTCTTTTTTTAAACAAATGTTTTTATTGATTTTGGAGAGAGGCGTAGGGAGAGAGAGGTGGGGGTGGTGGTGGTGAGAGAGAAACATTGACGTTGGAGAGAAACATCAATTGGTTGATTCCCAAATGCACTTCAACCAGGGTTTGAACCCACAATGTAGGAGGTATGTGCTCTGACTGGGACCCGCAACCATTTTTGTATATGGGATGGGTAACAACCAACTGAGCCACTTGGCCGGGGCTCTTTTCATCTTTTTAAATGTGGCTACTAAAAACTTCACATTACATTATGTGGCTCATTTATATTTCTATTGGACAGTGCTATTCTAGACCACTGTTTCTAACTTCTTTTCCAACGCTTTTTTCTATGATTCATGGGAAATCCCCTCCACTGGTTTCCCAATCTACTGGCCTCCAAAATAAAAAGCCATTGTCTGAACTTTCATTTCTCCCCACTCCTTCATTCAGTTTTAAAAGCTCTACTGAACAAATCAGCTAGTCTCCTGATAAACGCATTTCTCTTGAGAATGTATGCCTTCCCTTGCCAGGAGTCTATTATTTCCTCCCCTTACTATTCCTAATACTCAAAATTAGCAAAAGAAACTACCATTCCAAAAAAACATGCCTATGTTACATAGCAGTAACCTAGAGAAATTCATCCTAGGAGAGAAATGTAAGAATATCCATAACAGCACTGCCCACAATAGCAAAAATCTGGAAACAGCCCAAATATCTACTGGTAGTAGAATTGGTAAATATGTGATGGTGTATTCATGCAATGAAATACTATATGAACTGCAACTGCCCAAATCAACATGGGAAAATCTCAGAAACATTGCCAAGTAAAATAGAGAAAGCTATATACTGTATGGTTTCATTACATAAAGTGCAAAAAAGGCAAAATGAAACAATAGATTGTTTAAGGGTGGACATGCACAAAGACTACAAAGTAAAGAAACACTAACACAAGATCATTTTATAATTTAATTTAAATGCCAGCATCTCATAGGTTTCACAAGTTGACAGTTACAAGGACTATAACAATTACACTTTGAGGACTTCCTATCTAGCTTTGCTCAACCTTTCCCTTCTTCAGATTGCACATGTATAGTCCTTCTCTGATGATACAGAAGGACCAGAGAGAAGCATGACTAGCTCCTGGCAAATGGCTATTTGTACCTGGGTTGCAGAGTAATTAAAGTGCAGGTTTGCACATTCCCATAGCAGGGAGTTAATTACTCTGGCTTAAAAGCCATCAATTTCCAGCTGGGTTGGAGAAAGTGAAGATCTAGTTGGAGCCAATATGGCAGTTAACGAAGCACTGCAGGTGCAAAATGACAGCAATTTAAAAGCAAGACAAAAGCTTGCTAGAATATGTTACTTTCTGAATATTTGAGTAAGGTAGAAAAACCCAAGGCTGGGAACACTTGTAGTAACAAATCTTAAAGATTAGTTTCAATGTCTTCTTTCTATTTGTACATTAAATACTGACTGCCCCTATGTTAATCACATTTTGCTAAATAAACAAATTTCAAAAATGTAGGAGAACACAAGTATTTTTATTTTCCAAGTAGAACAGATACTTTGGTCATAACGAAATTTGCAGCCTTATCTAAGTCTCTTAGATGAATTTAACTGTGCTTTCATAACAATTCCATTTTCGAAATCACTTAGAAATGCATCTTCCCATGATTTGACATAAATTTACTGAGCTCAAAATCCATGCTCAGGGGAGGGAGAGGAACAGTGGGTGGTGGTGTACTGTACAAAGCCTCTCTGATAAGGGGGCATTGAAGCGTAGAGCCAAAGGAAATAAAGATGACGTCATGTGGCAATCTGGGAGATCGATCCAGGAACATGCTCAGTGTGCTGGGGCCTGTTGGCAGGAGAGGACTGAACAAATGGGAGAGTGGCAGGTAGAGGTGGGGATATCACCAAGAGCCTCAAAGACCCCAGTTAAGAGTTGGCTTTGTGTTCTCAGAGAGAGAGAGAGTGATAAGAGGATTGATACCCAGTAAAGTAGTAACTTGATTTACCTTAACTTTCTACATTGATATAAATGTTTTTATCTGTACTGTTCATATACTAGTTGTGGCTATTTAAATTAATTAAAATTAAAAATTTAGTTCTTGCATTCAGTCACATTTCAAGTGCTCAGGTGGCTAATGGCTGCATCACATAGCACAGTTTTAGAAGTCAGGAGGCCATTTCTAGGAGAGAAATGGCAGTGGCTTGGCCATGGGTCATATTAGAGGAAGTGGTAAGAAATGGTCAGATTCTGGATATAGTTGTGAAGGAATGATTTGTTGACAGACTGGATATGGACTGTGAGAAGATGCACAATTAGGTCTCAGGTCTGTGACCTGAACACTTGCAGAATGAGAGTACCATTTACTTGGAGGAAGAGAATGTTTTTGAGGAGAGTGTAGGATGAAGTCAGCTGTTTTGGACATGTTAATCTGAGATGCCAAAGGCATCCTAGTAGAGATCCCCAGAAGTCTGTGGAGTTAAGAAGAGCGATCTAGGCTGAAGACACAATTTTGGAATTCTAAGTATTTCAAGCCATTCCACTGGGTGAGATCACCTAGAAGTCACTGTAGATGGGGAAAGGAGGTTTGAAGTTTGAGAAAGGGACACTCTGATATTTAAAGGCTAAAGAGTTAGAAGAACCTTATAAAGGAGATGGAGAAGAGGTAGCTGGAGAACCAATATAGAAGGAGTCTGAAAGCCAAAGAATTAAGTGTTTCAAAAAAGGAAGGAGTGCTCTGAGTTCCAGCACTGGGGCAGCAACTTGGAAGGCACCAGGAATATACGGGGAGGAAATGAAGTGTCTGGCATTGGGAGAGGGCTGGTGAGGCAGCTTTCTCCCAGACAGAAATGCTGGCAGAGGCCACTATTCTCTTTCCAAGCCCTTCCCCCAAAGAGCCAGTAGGTAGGTGCCATATCTGAGCCTCCTTCAACCTGGCTATCACTGTTTTCTCTGCCCTGGTGATTCCCTGAGATGCCACCCCACCAATTTGCTGGGCCCATCCAAGCTATTTCCAGTGGCTTTTGCATTTGAATGGCCTGTCTTGGCTCATGCTTCAGACTTTCCTAAAATCTCTCAAACAAGCAGCATCTCACTTTAGCGTGCCCCATACCTCTAAGTGGCCCCAAGCCTGGCACTAGGGCAGCAAGCCTCGGTTTGCAGCTTGGCCTTTACTGGGTACCTCCAAGTCCGGCACAGGTAGCAGCCATCTACAGATCACTTTGTAGCTCATGCCAGGTAGCCCTGGCAGAATATAGGTGGTGGATAACCTTGGCTTATACCTTCTGGGAGGCCCCAGATCCATAATATATGGGGAAAAGCTTCAGAACACGATGAAGCACCACCACCCAACCACCTCCACAGCGACACTCAAGGGGTGAACTCAGCAGGAACCAGAGCCCCGCTGAAGTAAGTCCTGCTCTGTGGGGTGGGCTCTTGCACAGATGATCCCATTGATGTGCCAACAGCAATCAAGGCTCAACTACAATAGGAGGGTGTACAAAGCCCACACGGTGGGGGGTAGGGGGGAGAACTTGGGAGTGCTCAGCTCAGATGACAGGGAGGCTGTGCTACTGGACCCTACAGGACACCTACTACATTAGGCCACTTTACCAAGCCCAGGAAGTGTAGCAGCTCTACTGAATACATAGAAACAAACACAGGGAAGCTGCCAGAATGAGGAGACAAAGAAACATGTCCCAAAAGGAAGAACAGAACAAAACTCCAGAAAAAGAACTAAATAAAAATAGAGACAAGCAATGTATTAGATTCAGAGTTCAAAACATTGGTTATAAGGATGCTCAATGAATTTAGTAAATGAACTTAGAGAGAACAAGATGAACCCAAAGAGGCCCACACCAAGACACATCATAATTAAAATACATAGGTTAAAGACAAAGAGAGAATCTTAAAAGCAGCAAGAGAAAAGCAGTTAGTTACCTACAAGGGAGCTCCCATTAGACTGTCAGTTGATTTTTCAACAGAAACTTTGCAGGACAGAAGGGATTGGCAACTCCCCCCCCCGCCCCCCCGCAAAAACACACACACAAAACAGCTAAAGAAGTTCATTACCACCAAACCAATAGTACATGAAATGTTAAAGGGTCTTCTGTAGGAAGAAGAAAAAAGATAAAGGTATAAACAATACAATGGCAACAAGTACATATCTATCAACAATCGAATCTAAAAAACAAATGAACAAGCAGAACAGAAACGGACTTATAGATACAGAAAACGATTTGGGGGAGGAAAGGGAATTGGGTGTAAAGGGTGAAGGGAATAAGCGATACAAATTGGAAGTAACAGAACAGTCATGGGAATGTAAAGTACAGCATAGGGAATATCTATCTATAATAATAAAAGCATAATATGCTAATTAACCTGACGACCTTCTGGACGAAGCCGTGGCGGCAGCAGGGGCAGAGGCAGAGGCAGCTGCCGCAGTGGGTGGGGACCAAAGCAGCCATCATGGCGGCGGGGCCAAGCCCCTTGCATGAATTTTGTGCATTGGGTCTCTAGTAGTCAATAATATTCTAATAACTATGTATGGTGTCAGATGGGTACAAGATCTATTGGGATGATCACTTAGTAAGCTATATAATGTCTAATCACTGGGTGTACACCTAAAACTAATATAATATTGTATGTCAACTGTAATTGAAAAATAAAAAATGATTTAGAATATAAATAAAAATGGCTTCCTAAGTTAAGCCCCTTTTTGCTAGAATACATACTTGGTTGAGTCCCTAGTACAAAGTGCTATGCCCTTCTTTCCTTAATAACACTGAATATTCCCCAGAGAAAAGTATCTCTGGCTATTGCTACCTACTTATTTCATGCCTGATGTCAGGTGAGGTACATCAGGACATTGTATTAAATTTAGAGCACAGAATATTATTTCTGTTAAAGAGTGAGCAAAGATGGTAATGAGAAATAAAGGCAATTTTTATTGTGACTGGACAGAGAGTAAATGTTTACTTGCCATTTATTATTTTGGAAAATAAGACAAGAGATAAATAAGAAATTATAATAAAAATAAACAATTTAACAGTTTAACAAAAAAAAAGAGGGAGTGACCGACAGTGTCAAATGCTGCTGATACACCGAGTCAGAAGAAGCGAGAGAATAGACCATTGTATTCCACAACACAAAGATCCTTGGTGACCTTCACAAGAAGGTCTGGATTCCCACTGCCATTGAACTCCTGGACTAGCCTCGTGACTGATCTCCTTTGCTCTAATAATTCTGCTATTCAAGCATGTCCTCTATGTCACTGTCAGTGTTATCTTTCTAAAACATAAATTTTCCTACACTGTCACTCAGCTAAAAAAATCTTGCCGAAAAGTATATGATCTATAGCAGTAGCAGCCAAACTTCAGGGTACACATCAAAATCACCTAGGGGTAAATAGGCTCCAATACCCAAGATTCTGTCTCAGTATCCTGGGGGAGACCTAGGAACTCAAATATTTTTTAAGTAATAGCCCAAATAATGGTTATAAACCATGCAGACCAAAGGACAAAGTCCAAACTCCTTAGCAAGGCAAAGTTTTTCCAAATTTGGTCCCAAACTTCCTGACTAGCTTCTTCCTATTCTACCCTAGACAGCAACTATATGCTTCTACAAGCTCAAACTCATCACTCAAATTAAATGCATTTCCCTGAACGTGCCATTTTCTTCCAGATATTACTGTCTTTTACACAAGCTGCTTCTGCTGCCTAGAAAGCTCCATTAATCTGGCTGTGCCCAGCAAACTGTGACTCATGCTTCAAGAACCAGCTTAAATGTCACTGCTAGTGTGAGGCCTTGTCCAGCTCCCCAAACTCTGTTAAGCATTTCTATACAACATTTATCACACTTTCTGCCTACACTTCAACTCCAGGAGGCAGAGATGTGCATTGTCAACACACTACCTAGCACACTGCAGATATTCAATAACCATGAATGACTGCTGATCCGACACTAAGGCATACTAGTAGAAAGTGCTCCAAGGATTAAGACACTGCCACTGCAAGTACTGGGGAAGTCAGGAACAGATCTGTCTGGAGGACACACCACTATATGCGACATGAAGCATGACTGGAACTTAGAGAGCACAAAGGGAATGAGAGACACTCATTTCTTCCTCTACTAAGACAGATACGAACTTAATGTCAAAAACAGGATTTGAAATCTATAGATATGGTTTCAAATAAACATCTTAAGCTTTTGTCTTAAAAGACATTTCAAAAAACTAAACAAAATCCGACCTTTTACAATCAGTTTGCTGGATCTAGTAATTGCCTCACCCCCTTTTGTAGGATGGAACTCAAAGCTCTTGCTCTAACTTAGTTCATTAAAGTAACATTCTAGGGAGACTAAGGTCACACACTGAACCCTTACACAAGCTTATCAGCTTTCACTTGCTCCTGACAGGTATGAGGGACAGTATGTGGTAGATTGGCACAAATCTCTCACCTGTACCCCCCAAAAAACTTATTCCATATCTCCTATTAAGAAATGGATCTAAAACGTTCCCACGGTTCCCAGAGACTGTCTTACAGAGCTGCTCCATGAACAAGTCTCTGCGACTTCTTTGGTTCTAAAACTCCCCCCAGAGTACCTAGTCTGTATTTTAGCAGATAGCTCCTCAAAACTTTTTAGAAAAATCAGAATCTGGCAATTTTCTGGTTCATCTGTGGGTAAATCTTTGAGGGCAACTAATTTCTGAATACTGACACAACAGAATTTATAAAGCAGTTTTAATCATATACAATTAAAAAACCAATACAGTATTAGAAAAATATATGATGTAAAAGGAATATAACCATAATGCTTTTCATGCAAAAACACCTACTTTGTATGCACAATACAATAAAAAAGTAAGATTTGATATTTTGTTTTAAAAATCTTGATCTTTGGCATTTGGATTTTTCAAATTTAAGACTACTATTATTCCCTTTATGCCCACAAAACCAGTCAACCACCTGAATGGGATTTACTTTTGAATTGTGGAAACAAACAATTGCTTACCTGGGGGGAAATAAACTGGGGAGGCACTTGCGCCCGGAGACTAGGAGAAGAATTTAGTGGCTGCACTGGTGTGTGCATACCTCTCGATTGTGCTGTGCTATTTCCAAACAAACCATGATTGCCACCCTGCAAACATAATGCAACAGTAAGGCTTTTTGTTAATATAAGAAAATGCAAATAAGCAACAGTCCAGATTTTCCATCCCTCAGAAGAATTGCATCTTATTTTCCATTGACTCACAGAATTTTATACCTGAAAAGTCCTGATCTTGTAATGCTCAGGAATATTATTCAAATTCAATCATGGCCATATTATTACCACCCCTGTAATCTGATTAACTCTATAAACCAAAAGGGTTAAATTTAGTCAAATGTTAGAAAAGGCACTTATTTATGTATGTATGTATGTATGTATTGAAAGGCACAGGCCATATAAGATTTATTTCAACTTTCTTTAAGATTGGGTTTACCATATTTATTCTCAAGCCTTATTAACTGAGACCCATCTTGAAAGGCAACTGAGTAAAAATGCAGGCTTATGAATAGTATTACTGTGAAACAACACATGATATTAGTTCTCTGGTTAGTTCAATCATAAAGTCAGTGCCAACCAGTTATGAGCCCAGCTCTATGAGAACCCTACTCCAGATCTGAATACCCTTCCCTGTCTTGGGTCTGCTTGGTCCCTTCTTTGCTAGATGAGGAGATCTGAATCAATCACAGAGCGAGATGAAAAGAATGGGGAAAAGAGAAAAATCTTTACAGGGACACCAAAATGAACATTACTCACCTGTAACTTCCCATTCAAATGTACGACTATTAGTCTAGTTAATACACAAACTTAACTGCCTAGTTTCTGGAGGACCAACTCACTGGAGCACTTTTAGACTATTCCAAAAAGCTACAGAAAGGGGGGCTGTGTGGCCCTTTCTTCTTGAGAAAAGTCCTTCAGCAAAGACACCACACACCATACCTGATACTGTGTTCCCTCTGACTGAGGCAGTTTTCTACACCACCTTCACTTGGCCTCTTCAAGGCCCAGCTCAGGGGTTGTCCTAAGAAAGTTTTCCTCAAAACCTTCCTCATTTCACATTCAAATTAACTAAGCCCACCTCTGTGTTCTCAAAACACTTCAAAACTCTCTGATAATGTCCACCATCAAATTACATTTTAGTTATTTTCCATTTGGTCTTCCCACCACATGTTCTTCTTTGTATTCCCAAAGCTCAATAAAGCCCTGGTCTATAGGATGAGCACATCATTTGCAAACATCCATGACCCACCAATTTCGTCTACTTGAAGATGGCCCACTGAGCATTGTCAGTGAAGACAGCTATACCGTTGCTTATATCAGGCATGTGTACAATGAACCGAAGGAACCACCATCATCTTATCCCTGGAATCATGGGGATAAGGTATTTTTAAAAATTTCATAATGGCATTAAGTTCTAGAATACTAAAGACATTTTAATGGCTTAATGATTTAAAAAAGATTAAGGGAATGCTGCAGGGAAATTAATAAACTTGAAAGCACTGAAAATAAAAATGATTATGAACATAAAGTAGAAATGGCAATAAAAAATCTGTCTACCTAAAAAGAAAATCAAAGATTCACCATAAAATTTAAATCTCCCAAAGAACTGTTTAAACAAGAAACTACTAATTCTAAAAACTTGAATCTCTCTTTTTCTCCTGTCTTACTAATCAAAGTGTCACCCTAAGGTGAAATGACTCAGCTCTAACTTTTCTGTGGCCATGATAGTAGTCAACAGCTTAGCTAATAATCATTCCTAGAAAAACAGGAAGCATTTATTTTGCTAAGAATATTCTGCAAGGTCAGGATGGCTGAGTGATCTAAGGTGCCGAGTGGTCTAGCAGCGGTCGCCAACTGATGGTCCGCGGACCACTGGTGGTCTGTGAGGTCCGAAAGGTTGGCGACCGCTGGTCTAAGGAATATTTTGCTAAAACTTTTCTCACTGACACTTTACTATCAAACTAATAATCTTGTATTACATGTTAATTATTCATATGGACTGGTCCTTGAATGGTGGGGTTTCTGGTAGCTAAAGTCCTTGCCATATTCCATGTTTTAACAAGTCCAAAGCTGCTTTGTGAGGATCATTTTTAATTTTAATCTCTTTGGTAAGAAGTATTAAAAGGAATTTGCTGGTTTGGTTCAGTGGATAGAGTGTCGGACCTGTGGTTCCGGGTTCGATTCCAGTCAAGGGCATATGCACGGGTTGTGGGCTCGATCCCCAGTAGGGGGTGTGCAGGAGGCAGCCGATCAATGATTCTTTCTTATCACTGATGTTTCTATCTCTCCCTCTCCCTTCCTCTCTGAAATCAATAAAAATACATTAAAAATAAAGGAACTTGCTATTTTTAGCTTTTGTAAAATCAAGCCCTCCTTTCCTATGCCTAGTAGACAGATTCTACCCCACTTCCACCAAAGATTTTAGGTTTTCATTATCAAATGTCTCTAAACCTACACCAAGCAGTTTGATGTATCTGATGTGGTCACTATTATAGAGAAGTCAACAGTATTCTATCAAAAAAAATACCTTCTCTTTTTTTTTCTTCTGTATTTTTTTCTATGAAATGTTGGCTTTACAAGCTAGTCATTTTCTTGGCTCAGAAGTAGCTACTGTGCACAGCAATGTATTTAGTGGCAATCAAACAGGCCGAGTCTTTTAGAAATTAGGAAAATGGTCACCAAAATGTACACGTTAATGATAATTTATCTGGCTCTCTAAAACTTTACTGTGATATGTGAGGCTTTTATGATGACCTGAGTCCTCATAAGTATTGGTGAAATTTGCCACAACTACAGTGTTTAACATACAAAGGTACATACATTAAAAAGAGTTACCAAGCTCATTGAAATCTTATGTGATTTGAGAAAAAAAAAACACCTTACATTTTAAGTCTGTTTTTAAAAAACACCATGAAAACATACATTAAAGAGTTACCAAGCTCATTGAAATCTTATGTGATTTGAGAAAAAAAAAACACCTTACATTTTAAGTCTGTTTTTAAAAAACACCATGAAAAAACCATGACCACATTTGGATAGAGTGCGTGTATCGACCTGGCTCACGATGGACTTTGCAGCATTCCACAGATCAACAGGACAACGAGGAATGACCTTTTCACAGAGTCCAGGGCACAGCTGGGTTGGCTGGCCTGTTACACTAATGTTTATGTATAACAGCATTTGATTATCATGTGACCCTGGAAGCATGTTCATAATTATAATTAACAAAGAGTGTTTTGACTACTTTATATTTTCTATACCTCGACTGGAGACAAAAGGGCCCCCCCCCCAAAACACTGATATAATTGTTCTTCTATGTTAATGTAAGTAGTACATATCCATATCCTCTGTGGAAACATTAAGAGAAACAGTGAAATATAAAGGAAAAAAAATTACCTGTAACTCCCAATCTAGAGATAACCAATCTGAACACATGAATATAGTATAATCCATTAAAAATGTGCTATAACCAATACGAACACATGGATATAATATCCATTTTTAAAAATATGCTAAGGCAATAACTAAAGAGCATATGAAAGAACTATATGCATTGTGAGGACTATGGTATAAGAGATGTTTTATAGCATTCTTTATATGTGAAAAGTCATGTGGAAATAAAATGAATGCAACTAAAAATTCAATGTCCTTTCCTGACATCCTGAGGTGAAAATCACAGAACTATGACTAGGAAAATATCATCGTGGAGTCACTGTCATAAAGGAATTGTCTCCAAATTCCTGGTTTTCTCAACAAAAACTGCAACAGAGATCCTGCGGGGTGACAGACAAAGGCCTGCTGCGCCCCCTCAGTCCTGCGAAAGCAAGTGGGCATCACCATGCCAGCCTTGCCCGTCTTGTTTCTATGGCATGCCCTTCCCCAGAGACTCACAGATCAGACCCTAGGAAAGGGGCTGCTCCAGGCTGAAGAAAACACTGCCAAGCCTGAGCAGCATCATCTTATCAAAGCTTAGTTATCTTATAAAGTTAACTTTCTCTGGGTAATTATTATATTTCACACCTTAAAGATACTAGATTTTAAGATGCGATAGCCCTCAATTAGCAGTTTTATTAAATTGAAAATACCTTAAAAGTATCAGTACTTGACATTTAATCTAATGTTGAAAATGGCAAATATGTTGTTAAATTAGATGATATAAGGTACCTATGTAGCCTCTTTAACATTTTCCTTAGGCAGTTATTAGTTGACTAGAGAGCAGGGGATGAGAAGACAAAAGAAACAGATTTAAAATAAAATCCATGTTGAGAAACATGAAGAGAGATGGGTTCTATGGGCTGAAAGATCTAAAGCCTAAACTTAATATCATTCTGTGCATTCAGTAATCAACAAATTTCCCAAGACAGACAAATGATGCAATAAACTTCAGACCAGGGCCAAGGCGAGGCCACAGTCAAGCAGTTATAAATTTGAGAGGCCTCCTTACTTGTCTAGCAGCGAAGTTTTGGGGGTTGAGCCCTGTGCCGATTGCTCCAAGGCTGACGTTGGGTAGTGTGGAACCAGAGGGAGACAGCTTGTAGCTGGGAGAAGGGGAGAAGGGAGAGCAGGGAGCCTCATCCCCAAGGCACCCATCTTGATTGGAGAAAGGCAAAGTCAGCTGAAAAGTAGTAGTTAGCCAATCACCAGGGTTGGTTAGTGAAGCAACAGAATGCAAGAAGGGAAAAGAGAGAAAACACTAGGAATAAACAATGTTAGAGTGTATTAGCAATAAACAAGGACAGAATTTGGATCTGATAATATAATCATCACACTTTGCCCAACAGACACCATCTGTCATCTTCTTGGATATAAATTTTTCTTATCCTCTAAGTTAGTAACACATTCTGTCCATTGCACTAAGACAGAAATTGCCAGACACTTTATTTTTATGCATCTAATATTGATTAGTCTTTGCAGCGGCAGAAATAGAAGCCAGAGTAAATCTTCTTGTGAATATTGTGGTGTCTGGGCCAGCATCAATGGTGTCAAAAATGTGCCAAATCTAAAAATGTTGGTTTTAACTGCTTTCTAAAGACCATGAACACTGCAAGCTGGTATTCTGAATTCAGGAATAAGCTCCTCCATTAGAAATGTTAAAAATCAAAGCAAATAGGTATTCATGATTTGTTTAAATCAGGTAGTTAAGAATTTGAAATTACACCACTGTAACTAAATAGATCACTAAAGAAATGAAAAAAGATCAGCAAAGAACACTTAGAAATAGCAAAGGAGAGAGTTTTGGGTCATCGTCACAGCTAGAAGGCAAGGCTTTCGGAGACACAGACTATTTGCATAAGATATTGAAATTTAATTTTCAACTGCACAAAAAGTAGCAGAAAAAATAATTCAGGAATGTCTCTAAAATTTCTTCTACATGTTTTCATTTCCCCCATTATGCATAATTAGACAATTTCTCTTCTCCAAACTTCATAAACTTTTTAAAACTTAGACCTTCTTCACAATGCTCATATCGATACCTAAAGACTGATGGTTCTAGCTCCTGCATAATCACCAGTTGACATCAACTGTTTTCATGTCACCATTTAAATCAGATGATGTTTATGTTTTATTCATTAATTTAGTTCAGTAATTCTATGCTTCCTCCTGGAATTATCAAAAGACAAATAGAAACCAAAGTGGTTCTCATAAATTATCTTAAATAAAGGATTCAACTCACCTTCTCAAAATAAGGCCCACTATCTGTGGTTCCCATGTCTTTGGAATTAGGTGGACGGAACCCAGATCGATCCTTCCTCATGATATCATTAAAATCCCCGAGATTCATTGCTCGCTTGTCCACATCAAATTTTTTATCTGTAAGGCTCCCTGAAAGGTACCACAGAAAGAGTAAAAATTTCAAGAATCGATGCCTCCCTCATGACCAAGAGTGACCTGCCCCATTCTCCTCCCTGGGGTGCTGGGTGTAAGACCAAAAGAGCTCTCAATGGTTCCGGCTGCTGGTGATCCTCCCTGGAACACGTGGGTCCTTTTTGTTTAATTAAAAGAACAACAACAACAACACAAACAAACAAACAAACCCAAAATGTATCAGTTGTAGTTTGTTTTCTATGGAAGACTGAAAGACAACCTTAGGGCTAAGTCAGATTTTTTTTTTGGTAAAAATCTACTTAAAAAAATTTATTCTGGCTATTGATATGTTTGATGAGTATGTCTTGCTCATACATTCAAATGTCCTCAGTGACAGAATTTGTTTCTTGCTGCTATTATAGCATCTGTTAGAGACAAATGATTGGGGTTGTGAAACACAGTTATCTATAACAATAAAAGCATAATATGTAATTAGACCGGACATCCTTTGGACAAAGCCGGTGGCCAGAGGGAAGCCCAGGTCCTGGGTCCTGGGTGCCTGCCAGTGGCCGGAGAGAAGTCTGGGTCCCGGGTGCCTGCTGGTGGCCAGAGGGAAGCCCGGGTGCCGGGTGCCAGAGGGAAGCTGGTGCCAGCAGCCGGGGAAAGGAAGGCCTACTCTTGCACGAATTTCGTGCATCGGGCCTCTAGTTAGGAATAAAAAGATCAAAGAGGCATAACTGTTGCTTCTAAAATTTAGAACTTGAACACAGGAGATGGTGTGCCACATTACTTGTGCCGTGTAACTTCCCAGGTGCAATGATTATTTCCACTTTTCTTTCACAGCTTTATAAATTTGCTATTGTACACTGACATGATCAGTGCCCCAGAAGCTTATTCCTAGTTATTCTCATATTTAAAATATCACAGATCAAAGACTATGTCCCTATTATCCAGGTCTGTTTTGCTTTCTTCTTGGCTTGATTCTTTTTAAGTTTCTCAGGGTGAGCAGCAGCATCTTTCTGAAGATCCCACAGACAAAGGGTTGACCCTGCATTGGCTCCACTTGTAAGAGGAGAGTCAGCCAATGATGAAACATCCCAGGGCAGATAGGACTGGCAACCTGAGAGCTGAGTCTGGCAGGGCCACAGACATATTTTGTTTGGCCACACACAGCATTTTTAAAAACTGGAATTAGCTTCCAATATTTAAAAATCAGGATATCAATATACATCTGAATTTCTTCTGGCCTCTCTTCAAAAACCAGAAGATCTGGCAAAAGTATTATTGTCTGAGTCTGAGCTCCTCCATGGCAACAACTGCTAAGAGCCGAGCAAGGCTGATTCCTTTAGGTGGTACATCCACTCTCCACAGCTAACCAGTAGCCTCCAAGTCCTGATTTCTTATACTTGGCACACACCACTCATTTACATTACTTTCTTGGCTCTTGCAGTCATTTGAATTTTTAAGCCCTACCTAGTGTCTGGCACAGTACCTTCCACAGAGTAAGTGTTCAATACGTGTCTACTGAACTGCATCCATCCCAACTCAAACTGAGCAGGGGATCCCAACAGGATGTCGTTAAGAAAAATATCCCATTCATATTAGTGGAGTGATACACACCTACAGACAAATCCATTTTGCTGCTTGGATTATCTTCAGTTTGATTCTGAAAAGTACAGAACAAGAGGGAAAAATTAAAGGTTTGAATTAAATATTTGAATCAGAGAAGAAATGGTATTATTCATGTAAGAGTCCCATTTTACTACTGGCACTACACAAGGACAATAACACTTAGAATAAAGACAAAAATACTTTTGATTGCTGCTGGTGCCTATATTCCTAAATTCAATTTTCACATAGAATTAGCTTCAGTTAATCTATGGACAGAGCAATAGCTAAACAGCTGCTTGTAGAAATAAACCCCTGTCCTCAAGTTCAAGTAAGCTCAGGATCAAATTTCATAAGTGGCAGCCAAATGATGACAACTTCTTCTCGTGACTTGTCAAGTCATCAAATCTGGAAATGTGCAGCCAAGTCAAAGTCATTTATTTGTCTTTTGGCAACCAGGGCCAGGGTGTCCCCATAATGTTCCCAAGAGATAAAAGAAATTAGAAATTCTACAAGAATTCCCTACTTAATTAATCAAAAATAATCTCTCTAGTTATTTTGCTATTGTTGTCTTTTAAAACTGATCCAGTAGTTGGGAAAACTATATCAATTTTAAGTGTTGGTCTCTTTTTTCCCTACCTGCAAAAAGAAAAAAAAATTACAAGGACTACAACTTAAAAACATACATATAACCTTTAAATATTGGAGTATTTCATTAAGAATAAGAGAACAGAAAACAAATCTAATCCAAACCAGGAACACTGTTTAACCAGTTTCAAAATCTGTAATTTTGTACTATATGTGGCAATGATCTTAAAATTTGTACTAAAATTAAAAGTTGGGATACATTACACATAGGAAAAAATAAAACTTACCAGCAATCCCATATTTGAAAACTGTTTGGCAATAGGATTCATCCACGAATCATTGTTTCCTCCTTTTAGTGCGCACTACAGAAATGAAATATGTAACCTCAAAATCAAATAATTAATTTTTTCAACTTCATATCTGAATTACATAAGTACAGATTGAAAATACAGAACCACGAGTTTACCTTTTTGAACCCTAATTATTCCTCTTTAATTATGTTTATTTTCATATTTCATATATTAGTCTAAAAGAGTAATAAGGCTTAGATATATCTATGTTTTCATTGTTATTTTATTTCTGTCACACTGAATTAAAAGTAGCTGGAAAATTATACAGTCAATATCAGATTTTATAATGTTTGCATGTGTGTACCTTCCCTTTTAGTATCTCCTTGTAATCCAAGCCAGTTGGTATCAGAAAAAAAATGTTTGATGCTAGTGCATGAAGCCATATTAAACTGGTCATTATTCTCTATGTGGATACAATGAAAAAGTTATCCATGTAGTATGTTCATCTGTTTGCTGACGGTATTAAAGACATGGGTCCCCAATGGGAAAGAAGTCTAGCAGAAGACACCATCACCGTCTTATTGCAAAATAAGGCAGACATGATTTTTTGTTTGTTTTTTAATGGGTCAAATTAGTTTCTCCCCTGAACAGGACACTAATCACCAGCTCCACTTTTACTTCTATGGAGAAAGCAGGTGGAACTATGATAAGGACTTGCTGGGGGTAGGGGTGATGTGATGGGGGTTTGTGCACCTGTACATTCTACAGTTAAAAAATTCTGTTTGTGTTCCGATATTTGTCTTATCAATGTATTATTCTTGAAAGTAATAAGGTACTTAAGTTCAGGTACATGTTTAAAGGTAAAAAAACAAAACACCCCTCAATGGAGGGAGGGGAGAATCGGTCCTTACTGTTAAATGGGTATAGAGAGTTTGTTCTGCAAGATAAAAAGAGTTTTGTGGATAGGTGGTGATGGCAGCACAACAATGTAATGTATTTAAAGCCACTGTTGGGAGAAGGGTTCTGGGCCTTGGAATTTCCTGAATTAGGTAAAAACCAGCTATGCTGATTGCCACTGCAGAAGCTATCTTACTTTGGTTTCTATACATATTCATGAGGATTTACTCTAAGGACTTCCTTGGCTTTAGAACGCAATAGCATAAAACACTTATAGAATATGCCTTGAAAGCTTCCAAAGAATAATCATAATATAGAAACTAAAAGTAAAAACAATCTACCTTTGAAAATTCCATTTTACCCATAGCAACAGTTCTGTGGTCCGTGGTTTCAAAGTCGTGGGGAAGGAACATGAGGGGTAAAGAGGAAGCAGTTATTTGTTCCCAAGAAAATATTTTTCTCTCTTACTTAGGACCTCAGGGACTCCAGCTGCCCTACTTCTTCTACTAAAAAATTCTCAGCTCTGCCTTCTAAGAATGAATAAGCAAGCTCAAGTATTCCTAAAGCAGACTACCTTCATTTGTTTCTTTCCTCCTTGTCCCCAGCTCGCTGAGTTGTGGGAGGAAGCGCTTCCCTGAGAGCCGGCAGTGTTCCAGACTCCTCCATCCTCCTCCTCTTCCCAGCTGGAATGGCGAGTTCCTGTCACTGGCCCGTCACTCTCCCCCCAGCCGTCTTGCATAGATTTGGAATCTTTAATAAAAGAAGGAATCAACTGTATGTGATAGCTATATGAAATGACACAATAATCATTCCTTGTAAATATAGCATTCCTTGTAAATACAGCATATATGTAACAAAAACCACAAAAATCATTCATTATTAATACATACTGTAATTTTATCTACTATATCTATATGACAAGGCAAACATGGTTCATATTTTAGAGAGCAGAAAATGGAAACCCATAAAGGTTTAATGATACAAAGTTAATAAACCACAGAATTAAGATCTCCTGGCTTCTGGTCTAATGATGTTCCCTTATACAAAGTTTTAGAAAATTCAAGCTTGAAAAGAACCTGTCACTACTTACAAGAAACTTCACATCTCTATTCCCCTTAATGAGCACAGTTTACTGTAGTTTTACCTCCTAAAAATACATTGTGTGACTGATAATGGACATTTCAAATATGAGGTATGATAAAGAACACCTGTCTACCTTGTTTGGGGTGAAGTTAAGAAAAGAACATGAAAAGGGGAAGAAAAAAGACTTTGAATATCAATATTATGGTGAAAGAGAAATTCACAGAGAACCATAAAAATTTGTAATTTATTAATATATATACTTGAAATGTGTTAGACACTAATAAAGATCCTAGGCAAAGACAATGTGCAAGCAATGGCTTTTAAAAGACAAGTGGAGAAAATTGGAAGATAGAGAATGGGGAAGGAGGATAGGAGGGAAGGAAGGAAAGGAGGAAGGATGGGAGGGAGGGAGAGAGAGAGGTAAGAAAAGGAAAGAAGGAAGGAAGGAAGGAAGGAAGGAAGGAAGGAAGGAAGGAAGGAAGGAAGGAAGGAAGGAGGGAGGGAGGGAGATCAGTGATGAGGGCTCTAATGTTAGAGGAAGTAGAATGTCAGTATCCATGATATACTCTACCAACATCCCCTTCTAAATAAAGATCTTTAATTTGGAGATTGGGATAAATCCTTTACTTCCCTCTAAAATTACTGTATGGAACTGAAGGATACATTTTGTGGTAATACATCTCTATAAATTGATGGAAGAAGGGAAAATTCACTATCTTGCCTACAAACCTCCATCCATACCTTCACTTTACCAATGACAGAACATTTATGGAAGGGGCAGTTATTTGATTTAGATAGCTGCATATGAAGAATCTAAAGCCAAAAAAGTGGCTCACTCCTTGAATGACTGTTGCCATCCCCTAGGACCAGGCCTGTGACAGTCATGAAGGCACCATGATGTACACAGGGCACAAGGAGGTTGGTTTCTTCTAACTGTAGCACCCCCACCCCAACATGGCCTGAGTGAACCTGATGGACCCTCCATGGGGTTCACCCAACCTTACATGAAGGGCTTTCTGACTGGACAGTGGAGAGGGCTTGGGGGCTATTTTCCCTGCTACTGAAAATGCCATTGAAAATCAGGATGGTTTCTTCTGCATGAGATATTTCATTATTATGTAAGCACTAGAGGCCCAGTGCATGAATTTCATGCATTCGAGGGAGGAGGGGTGGTGTGGGGGATGGTGTGTGTGTGTGTGTGTTTCCTCAGCCCGGCCTGTGCCCTCTTGCAGTTCGGGACCCCTTGGGGGATGTTGGGGAGTGGTCCTAAGCTGGCAGTCGGACATCCTTAGCGTTGCTGCGGAGGCGGGAGAGGCTCCCGCCACCACTGCTGCGCTCGACAGCTGTGAGCCCAGCTTCTGGCTGAGCAGCGCTTCCCCTGTGGGAGCACATTAACCACCCGGGGGCAGCTCCTGCATTGAGCGTCTGTCCTCTGGTGGTCAGTGTGCATCATAGCGACCGGTCATTTCACCGTTCAGTTGATTTGCATATTAGCCTTTTATATATATAGCATAGGCCTTATGCCATCCTCTGACAAGCAATAGGAATTAAAAGCCCAATATAATAACATACTGACCCCTTTATAAAAACAAAGACATCCATGCAACCCTTCTTACAGAGAAAGGAGCTGAACTTTCAACGAATGTCTTCTTATGAAAAAGATAAAGAGAACTTATTTTTAGTCATATATATTTGTAGTCTAGAAACAATGATAACAGGTTAATGACCAGCATCAATTAATAGGCTGTGATGATCTAAGCTCCTTCCTCTGAGTAGTACATATTCAAATTACCTAGAGAAAGGGGAAGTATATAACTATAGCTATGACTATAGATATTCCCAAAGAGTAGAAAACATTTTTTAAATCTGGAGAAAAGTGAGGGGTTTCTGATGAAAGAAAGGTGATTCTGAGGTTGGGGAAGACATAAAAATCCTGAAAGTACTGCTAAAGTACCCCCTTGTGCCAAGGGTCCCTTAATGTCTTTCAACAGCTTTTTGGATGTATTTCAAGTCTACAGAATGGTAGCTCCCATGACAATACAATCAGTTTACAATGAAAATGAAAGTCTTTATAAAGCTATTTTTATGAAGTGGAAGAGATTCCTAATTTTAAAAATGTAGTCAAGTTACATATAGAATGTACCTAAAACCATAATCCTTCATGTAGCCCTATACGAGTCCTAAATATCATACAGTAAACCTGACAATGGAATTTTTTATTCTCGTTCAAATTCTGAGCATTCAGGATGACCACACTTTTAAATCAAAAGACAATTCCTTAAGTCTGCAACATGGTAGAAAAGAGATGTTGGAATACTTTTTAGGAAAACTACAAACAAGTGAAAACGGGCATTTGAATTTTTCAATTGAGGAACATCCATTGGGACATTCCAAAGCATCAGTTTACAAAGTTTTGCAAATTACTGTGACTACATATTGCCAGCTGGACCAAGTATCGCTTAGATTTTCAAAGTATGACGTGCTTTGTTTAAAAAATTCAAATGAAGAAATCTTTGTCAGATTCAAGAAACCTTAAATGTTTCTATGTGGGTGGATGTTGTATGAGAGAAAAAGGGAAAATAGGAACAGAAGAATGAAGTCACTGGGCAGCAGAGACTATATCCCACATTAAAAGCCAGGAAACTCTTTTTAAATTATACTAAAAAAAGAGTAGAAATGCAAAATAGATGTGGAAAGCAGTATTTCAGTTACTGGGCAAGAAAAAAAGAAAGACAGAAAGAAACAAGGAAAAGAAAAGGCACCACATCACCATTTCAATTCTGTCCAGATACTAAACCTAATGCAAAATCAACAAAATTAACTTGTGACTTTTAGTTCACTGTGTGCATTTTAACACATGCCAATTCAAGTCACCACCATTTGCTGCTAACCATTTAAAGATTCAAGGTTCTGAATCTCACTGCAACAACTGTTTAAACACTAAACAGCCCTCCCCAAAATGCCTGACCCCCCAAATTAACAGAGGATCCCTAAAAAATAACACTGTATCCTTACTAGGTTTCATGGCATTTGGAGCGTTGGAAGGTGCATTCCCCCAGCCTGTGGTCGATGCTCCTGTGTCATCCATTTCGCCCCACACAGGACTGCTTTCATTTGGCTCACCCCAAGCTGAAGTACCATTATCTGGAGCAGGTGGTGTGCTTTTGCTCCAGACTGTAAAGACAGGAAATGTGGCTCTAAGAATGATGTGTTAAACAGCATACTATCCAGTGGGTTGGTGGGGGAACAGGCACTCTGAGAAATACAAGTAGGTTCCGCGTTCATGGAGGGCATTTGGCATTATCACTTTTGGCCCAATAATTCCACTGTCGGAAAATTATACCAGAGTTAAACTTATGAAAGTAGATGAAATTACATGTACAACAATGCCCACTGCATCACTGTCGGAAACCATTTGGAAGCAGCCCAAACATCTATCAAAAAGGCACTGGTTACACCAATCGTGGGCCATCCATAAAATGAATAGTATATACGAAGCAATTAGTAGACAAAAATGTATGTGGTAATATGGAAAGTTTTTAAGTATAATGATAAAAGCAAGGTGAAGAACAGTGTACATAATGCAATACCTTCTGTGTATAATTTTTAAAGGATTAGACATATTTTGCTATAGGTATGAACAAAATGTTTGAATGAGACACAAAATTCTAAGAGGTTACCTGTGGGAAGAGACCCTAGAGCAGTGGTTCTCAACCTTCCTAATGCCGCGACCCTTTAATACAGTTCCTCATGTTGTCGTGACCCCCAACCATAAAATTATTTTCGTTGCTACTTCATAACTGTAATTTTGCTACTGTTATGAATCATAATGTAAATATCTGATATGCAGGATGTATTTTCATTGTTACAAATTGAACATAATTAAAGCATAGTGATTAATCACAAAAACAATATGTAATTATACATGTGTTTTCCGATGGTCTTAGGCGACCCCTGTGAAAGGGTTGTTCAACTCCCAAAGGGGTCGCGACCCACAGGTTGAGAATCGCTGCCCTAGAGACTAAGATTCTTTTATTACCCTTTGCTTTTCTGTATAGTTTGAAGGTTTTTACTATAGTCATTCCTTGGTATCTGAGGAGGATGGTTCCAGAACCAAAATCCACAGATGCACTAGTCCTTTATGTAGAATGGAATAATATTTGCATGTAACCTACACACATTCTCCATCATTCTTTAAATCATCTCTGGATTTGTTTTAATACCTAATACAATGTAAATACTATGTAAATAGTTATACTGTATTGTTTAGGTGATAATGACAAGAAAAGAAGTTTGTACGTGTTCAGTACAGACGCAACCATTGTAGGCCTACATAATATACAACGTAATGCTATATCCTCCCCCCCCACCCCCCCACAAATATTTCTGATCTGTGGTTGGATAAAATCTGTCAATGGGGGAACCGGTGGGTCCAGAGGGCCGACTATATGGATAAAGTTTTTGTTTTGTTTTTTAATATATTAGCAGGTTTTATTCTAGACAAGGAATTAATGAACAATCTGCATTTCCTTTCTCATTCTTTTTCAGATTTGAAATTAAAAAGAATTAGATAAAGGAATCATTTTCTAAGTGGCCATAATTAAATTCACTGAACACTTTGGGGAGTGAGTGGAAAATGGAATACCGTGATTAATACTAACTAAGAAAACAAAAACAAACAAAAAAAACCAAATGTGGGAGGAAAAAAGCAGTTGAATAGTGCATCCCTCTAGTTTGTTGAACTATATGCTTTATGGGGGCATTCAAGTTGACAATGCCAAACTAAGAATGATATTACCAGCATTACTTTTCATATCCTAGGTATAGTATTTCCTAGTCGAATAAGGTGGACACGTGATTATCATGAGATAACAACCTCTTATATAAAGTACTCTCCTTTCAAAGGTGATCATTAAAATCACCTGGAAAGTGAGCAAACCCTCCGGATCCGAGCTTTGCTACAGCATAATGATGGCCTCTGCAAGAACAGCACACACTTCCCTTCAACGGGGAAAGAGAACACAGAGGATGTGGCCATGTGCAGAAACAGAATGGAAATCAGGTCTATTTCTGCTACCATTTTAATTCCTTATTTTTAAATCTAGAGCATAGTTTGTTTAGCAAGATAATATGTCTTTAGGATTCTGCAGACCAATACAATTGCAAAAGAATAATTTTGGGAGGCTAACCCAGGGATACCATCTTTTTCTTTTGCCAAGAAAGAACATTAAAATGTACTACTAGCATCTGTTATCACTATCATTTTATAAAAAAAAGAGCTTCTGTTAATGTAGGAAAGATTCCCAGAACACAGCCAAATTGAACAAATGCAGCTTAATAAAAATACCTTGGTTTAGGATTTATCTTCTTCATTAAAACCTGCAAGAAAAGCAGCTGCCTACCTGATGCTGATTTACCGGTCATTGGGGTAGGCAGATTTGGTTCTCGAGGTGCTGGGCCCCCTTGGGCATTCTTATCCCACAGATTCACATTCTTGTAGTTATAGCTGTTGGGGTCTCCCCATGCTGAAGTGCCATCATCAATGTCCATTTTTCTACTAATTGACTGTGGGGATGGCTCTTCCCAACCACTGGGTTCCTCATCCTTAGGGGTTACTGGCTGTGGCCCGCTGCTCCAGTTGCAATTGGAAGGTCGTCCATTGCCTGGAGGTGGTGGGGGTGGGCCTCCCCATGAACCAGAAGCCTCTGGTTGTGGTGGCGGTGGCTGCTGTGGCTGCTGTTGGTGCTGTTTGTTCCAGGAATTGGGCTGTCTGCCTGTCTCAGTCCATGCTGGAGATCTTTTGCAATCTTCCCACCCGCCTTTGGAAACTAGGCTTGCATTCCCACCATTCCCCCAAGTTCCAATTTCATTCTGCCCTCCTTCGCCCCACCCAGACACAGGTTTACTTGCAGAACTTTCCCAATTGCTGTTTTTTGCTTGATCAATTTCCTCTCCCCAACCATTCTTTCCACAAGTCCATCCTTGATTGGGCTGGCGCCCACCTCCCCACCCCTGATCCTTGCTGGAATTCTCATTCCAAGAGGAAGATGCCTTTTCATCTGGTCGACACCCTCCCCAATTGGAAGAGTTGTTGTTCTTATAGTCATTCCAGCCTCCTGTGTTCTTGGGGTCTTTCCACTCTGTAGAGGCTGAGAGCTCCCCCCATCCAGACTTCATTTGATTGCTTTGGCTGGGTGCATCTCCCCAGCCCCCTGAGTTCTTGGTCTGTGTGGCAGCGCTCTCCCACCCCTCAGTTCCTTTGTCAGATTTCCCCTCAGGCCTTGGCACCTCTTCAATATCCCACACCGTGTCCTGCTTAATTTGAGTTTGGCCCCAGCCGGTGTTTGAGAGCACCCTGGGGTCCAAATCAGTTCGGCTCAAAAGAGTCTGCAAGACAGCCTGACAGTCAGGATGTGTGGGCCTATATGAGCGACGGCCAGAATTATGACTGTCACTACTTCCTGCTTTGTGGTTGCTTCCAGTGCTTTGACCTCCAACTTCACTTCCTGTGGAGCTGGAAGATCTTCCCCAACAGGGAGCCTGGGCATTGCCTTGGTTTTCAGGGAGGGGGTGGCCCTTTTGATTGTCCCATGCTCCAGTGCTAGAATTTGGTTGGTTTGGACCACTCCATTCTCCAATTTTCAACTCATCAGACCCAGTCGGCTGTTTCCATTCTCCCTGAGAGACCCCAGATGTCATTTTGTTCCCTTCACCCCATTTGCTGTCATTAGAGTCCTGAGGGCCAAAGTTCCAGGACCCACCCGTAGACCTGTTATTGTCCCAAGAATCATTTTTTGACCCAGTTGACTTCTGAACAGAAGCTCCTTTCCAGGAGTCCTCTCTCTCTTTTCCATTGTTCCCATTGTTTCCAGAATTGCTTTGTCCAGAGGCTGTGTCAGTTCCAGAAGGCCCCCTAGCTGCACCCCAAGATCCAACACTCCCAGTCTTTCGATCTCCAGTGCTTTGTGAAGGGGCATCAGTGCTCCTGGAGGCGTTCCCCAAGCCCATTCCAAAGGGCATTCCCTTGTTCTCCATGGGGTTTGGTGAACTTAAGTTCAAGGAGTTAGTGTTTCCATTTTTTGGTCCATCAGTGTTATGAATTTGAGCCTGTTCTCTGCCAGAGACAACAAAATTAACACCCGCATTTTCCATCTTTGACTGCTGTTCCCTGGATGCCTGACCTACTGTGCTAACCTGTGCACTGGAATTACTAGTATCTGTTTCCAATGCCCCTTTCCTAGAATTTCCTTCTTGAACCAGTGCTGGCCAGGCAGATGGGTTGCTATTTGGGTTAAAGTTGCTGAAGCCAGAGCCAGGTCCAATTCTATCTTGACCACTCACATTCCTCCAATTTCCTAGTCCATTGTTGCTCTCTGCAATAGAGTTGGAAGATTGAATAGATTTAGACTTAGGGTCAGATTTCCAGACCCCAAGATTACATTCGTTCCCAGAACTTGCAGACTGGCACTGGCTCCCTTTTCCTTTGTTATTAGTGGTGCTTCCTGGCAGAGTGCTCTTCTCAGAGCCAGGGTTCGAGGCACTGTTGTTATCGGTGGTGTTTTCGGAAGAAGACTCAGTATCTTTGCTGGCAATACAAGGCCACTCTTCCATGTCAGACCCGTCTACAATCACCTTGTCCCAGATGTGAATTGGGTTGGGGGAGGTGCCGTTGTTGGAGGAGGCTCCCGGGCCCCAAGTGGAATTTGCATAATTTGAAGCAGCAGCACCTCCAAGGGTTGACTCTGGGAAAGAGATTGTCTTATCAATCACAGATACATATGCATGCTCTATTAACATCTCAAGTTCAAACCGCCCCCAAGAGAACCTGTCACATTTTCCCACAAACTAGCTTATCCACCCAGTTGCCTCTCTTAGTGAACTGTACCACCCCTATTTTAGTCATCTTCTCTTTCGTCTTACCTGGTTGGTGTACTTGCTAAATCTAACTCCACACCATCTCTCAAAGCTATCCCTTTGCCATTCCTACTGACAGAGAAGGGCCTTCTTGTATTGAGACAATGCAACAACACCCTGCTTGCTCTGCATCTCCAACCTACTCTAAACACTCCTGGCTGGAGGGACTTTTCTAAAGCACATCACTTTATTGCACAAGAATAAAGCTGAACTCCTTGGTCTGGAGTTTGATCAAGATTGACCTGGGACCAAGTGACTTTTCTAGTCTCATCTTCCACTATTTCTATGTAGACATCTACATTCCATACTACTTGACATTCCACAACTAGCATCAGCACTTACTGTTTTTTCCTCCTAAATTCATACACTGAAATTTTGCCCATTTTTTCTGGGCCTAGTTCAAGTGCCACATTTTTGACTGAAGTTTTTTTATGAGCTCATCAACCAAAAATAGTCTTTTCCTGTCTAGAGCCATTTTGCTCAGTGCTAGAACACTGTGTTCATGTCTTCCCTCCCCTATGTTAGTGCTTTTTAGGCAGAGACCCTATCTTGTCTCTTGCTAGACCCTATCTTGCTAACATTTGAATTCTACAGTGTCCAGCCCATCGCTGCTCAGTGAGCATTGCCTGAATAATAAATGTCACCCAGCTGGATGCCAAGGGCAGACAAGCATGAATCAGTGTGTATGCCCAAGGAACTTAATCTGATGAATTAGTCTGGTTTAGCACATATTTTGGTGGAATTTACCTTATTTGGTGGAGGGAAAATGACATGTTTTAAGCCTGATAATTTCTTCTAAACTTATTTAACTCCTCTAACCAAGCAGCTTAAAATCAATATGAAATTGAAAAAAATATTACATAAAGCCATATAAAATTAGGAAGCACAGAATCTCAAATTCTTAAAATTTAGGGGCCTCCTTGGTTTTAAAAATGTAAACAAGAGATTCTGGCTCACACTGGACCCGTGTCCACATCAAGGCCTGGCTAGACCGGGCTGCAGAAATCAATGCCAGACACACTGCCCCTCACATACTTCCTTTTGTATTTGGTTATAAGGGGCCAAGACGGAAGGGCCAGGAGGCCTTCCAAGGGCTTTGGGCCTGGCCTGATGGTCACCACAGTTAAGACTCATGCATAGGGCTTATCTCTGCATGAAGCCTATGTCATCCTAGGTTTCTTTCCACCCTTACTCTGCACATGAGACAGTAAGAGAATTTTCTGGGCAATTCTATACTCAAACTTAAATTAGAATAAAGCATCCTAATAACAACCACAATTCAGTGCCTTTGCCAATGCTTAATGGTGCTCAAGTTCTGAGTTTTAATACAATCTCAAAAAAAACCAAACATTTTAAGAGATAAGTTGAAATCTATTAACAAGCTAAAAATATATATTTGAAAGTCCTTAGCTGTTAACTAATTTAGTATTCACACACTGGGGAGAAGAAAAAAAAAATCACAGAACTTCTAGTAGAGCCCTTTAGCTAAAGATCCTTGTATCTACATACAGTTTTTAATAATGTTCAAAATCAAGGGCCCCCCTAAAGAAATACTGCTTTAAAAAAATCTAAAAATCCCCAAATTCTAAAGAGTAATCTAAGAGACCATTCTTTCTACCTGCCTAGCATTCTGGGAGCATAAACACGAGCACCTAAGCTTCTGAACACCCCCTTGCACTAGCTCACTTCCAATCATACTTGGAGCACATACTTGTGGTGACAGCTAGAACAATGGAGGCTTAAGTTTGTAACGCTCTTGTCTGAGAAGGGAAGAAAGGCTCCAGAGCGATGACCAACAGCAGCTGTATTAACCTCTCCTGCCAAGAGCACGCACTCAATGGACACTAAAACCCAGTTTCAGCAGAGAAATGCTGATGTACATTTCATACTGGGATCCTTTCCCATCTTTTCAATAACTCCAATAGTCTTCATAATGAATGCTTTTTGTGGACTTCACATCAGGCAATAAAAGTGCTCTCCCTCTCTAAAGCTGCCATGAATTCAAGTCGGCGACACCGATTCCTCACCTGGTACAGTCCCACTCTCACTCTGCAGCAGCGTTCCCGTCACTTGTGCGTTGTTTGGGTTTGCTCCAGGTGCTGTGGAGGGAGGAGGCCCTGCCCCACCCCCGAGGAGCATGCAGGATGGTGGAGGGGGCTGCCCACGTTTTAGTAACACTTTGTGGTCCTGCTGGCAACGGAATCGCGGAGGCACCTCCCGAGGCATGTAGCGGGCGGCGCTTGGCGGTTGTCCGTTCGGCACTGCCACCCTTTTGGCATTGTTGCCACCATTGACTGGTGGCGATGGAGAGCTGCCAATTGGGCTGGCGGCCGTTGGTTGGCTTAAACTTGGTTTCGTCACTTCGGGCACTGAAAGAGATTGGGAAACAATCTTTGAAATCAAATACATTTTTTTAAAGATTATTTTTAAGAGTGCTTACGTGGGACCAATTACAATAAGACAATCCAATAATCCTACTCCTTATGGACATGGTCTTTCCAAATTGCCAGCATCTTTAGTTTACTGAAGGTAGGGTGAAGGTGGGCGTGATGGTGACAAGTATTCAAAGACACCAATATCATGCAATTCCATTCCACTAAGAGGGAGAGGGAAGCAATAGTGGAATTTCCTGAAGGGCTGCCCAGCAGCTCTGAGGGTACAGTACATATGGTTCCCAGGCAAAGTCTTTGGTAAAGGTTTAAGGTTTTTAGCCCAAGGGACCCTTCCTGTCATCCACATTCTTAAAGACCTACCTCTGAGAAACTTTTCTCAAAGTCCCTGGACTAGGTAGGCTAAGCACCCTTCACTTGTGCTCCTGGAACACGCCGTCCATCTCTCTTTACCACTGAATTTTCCATATTATTTTGAAATTCTCCCTTTATAGGCCAAGACACCAATATCATGCAATTCCATTCCACTAAGAGGGAGAGGGAAGCAAGAGTGGAATTTCCCGAAGGGCTGCCCAGCAGCTCTGAGGGTACAGTACATATGGTTCCCAGGCAAAGTCTTTGGTAAAGGTTTAAGGCTTTTACCCTTCCTGTCATCCACATTCTTAAAGACCTACCTCTGAGAAACTTTTCTCAAAGTCCCTGGACTAGGTAGGCTAAGCACCCTTCACTTGTGCTCCTGGAACACGCCGTCCATCTCTCTTTACCACTGAATTTTCCATATTATTTTGAAATTCTCCCTTTATAGGCCTTTCTTCCTCATCACATTTTAAGTCCCACAAAGCCAGAAATACATCTTTCATCCTTTTTTCTTAAGGTCTGCCACAGGGAACCTCAATCTAGAGCAGTGGTTCTCAACCTTCCTAATGCCGCGACCCTTTAATATAGTTCTTCATGTTGTGGTGACCCCCAACCATACAATTATTTTCATTGCTACTTCATAACTGTAATTTTGCTACTGTTATGAATCATAATGTAAATATCTGATATGCAGGATGTATTTTCATTGTTACAAATTGAACATAATTAAAGCATAGTGATTAATCACAAAAACAATATGTAATTATATATGTGTTTTCCGATGGTCTTAGGCGACCCCTGTGAAAGGGTCCTTCGACTCCCAAAAGGAGTTGCGACCCACAGGTTAAGAACCGCTGATCTAGAGGATCACAAAATCAACTCGTTAGTTACTACAGCTACCTGAACTCAAAGACTCTTGCTTGGCACTGTGTGTAAATATTAGAAATGTCATAATCATTTTGCTTTTGCCCCACCTCCTCCCATTTTAAGTGTATCATGTATGTTTTTTCCAACTCTTTATTTACAATAAAAATTTCAAAATGTAGATACTTTCCCTATTGACTTTAATAATTTAATGTTTTCGCTCACTTTAAAAAATGGCAAAAGGAAGTGTGGGGATGTGCTGGGTGACTGTCAAGCTATACTCTGCAGGACCCTCGGCTCAACCCTATGGGGGCTGTTCTTCTGGATCTGTACCTTCCTTGCTTCATCCTACCAAAAGACTGCCACCCTTTCCAAGAAAATTTACCTGGCAAATAGTGGCTGGCAGTAATACAGAAACAATCACTGAGCCTGATAATTCAGATGATTCTGAGGCCAAAATCCCTGACATCCAGAGTAATGTTAGGGCCAGCTCTGGTGGCAGTACCGTTCTGACTGCTGAAGTGATGCTGGGCCAGCATGTCACTCGTTGAACTGGCTCCTTTATGAGGAGAGAGATGCATCATCAGAAATCAGGGGGCTCAATCTATACCCATTGGACACTGGAGAGTACTCTGAGTAATAGGAGAAAGGAGCAGATGCCTGAAGTAATGTCAAAGCAACCCTGGGGTCTAACCTGAGCCCATCAGGGGGCTATACTGGGCCTCCCAGTAAGGAAGATAGGTCAGAATAAACATGGCGAGCAGAATAAACATATGACCTAAGAAAATAAACTGGTCATTGTCTAATATTTTTAACACAGCACCCTCTGCTATAATAGCCAATGGATAAATAACTGATAAACTGATGAATAAAGATGAATTATTTAATGATCCATTTTCTATCTGTGCCTGGAAGATTCGATACCACATGGCATTCTCAATCCCCGTCCCCCATCATGAGAATACACAAGAAGCTGGCAAAGGCTGGGGGGGATTCTTCCCAAGTGGTTTTTAGGATGGAAGGAGCTAGGTTCCTATGAGGCTGCTCTTCTACAAAAGGGCTAGCCTTTAAATTAGCGAGGTCTGTTACAGCCTTGACTCATTCCCCTAAGATAGAATAAGACAGGTCTGAACAGCAGTTCAACTAACTTTACAATACTCACAGAACAACCAACACTAAGACCAGCCTACTGCATTGAGGTCTGAACACCAGTTCAACTAACTTTACAATACTCACAGAACAACCAAAGAAATCTAGTGGGTACCACACATTGTGCAACATTCCCTGCTGAAGCACCTCAGGGCATTTCCCTACCATCACATCAGAGATAGAATGGATCATAAATTATTCATTTACTCCCAAAAAACATTTACTTACTCTAAGGACTGAATATTTTTCCCTTTCCGTTGCCTTAATTATCTTATACCATTCTCATCTCAGTTTGAACTTCTAATTGCCTCTATTTCTGGAAAACTTCAATAAGATGCTACTTTTTAAAAGATAAAAATATTAAGAATATTCTGAAAAAGGCAGAACCAATACAAATTACTATTTTCTTTAAATACCTTGAAAGGGATTTAAAACATAAAAAAACACACACATAAAAAAACCTAAAAAATGTTTAAAAGCAGTAAATACAAACAAGCCCTAGAAAAGACATTATTTTAGACTGAAAATTTCTTGTGAAGAATAATCAGTTAAAATGTAGTACAAAAAAAAATCTCAAAGATTAATGACACACGGTGAGTGGCCCATGCGCATTGAACAATTTTCAGTAACCTCTAAGGACTGTCTCCATCTCTTTACCTTCCACTCACTCCCCAAACTCAATGTACACTGGCTTTTGCCCTAACATCTCCCCTAGGAGCTTCTCTCCTCATTAAATCACAGTGACCTTCATTGCTGTCTAATGCAGCGGTTGCCAACTGGTGGTCTATGGACTGTGAGTGGCCCATGAGCATTGAACAATTTTCAGTAACCTCTAAGCACTGTCTCCATCTCTTTACCTTCCACTCACTCCCCAAACTCAATGTACACTGGCTTTTGCCCTAACATCTCCCCTAGGAGCTTCTCTCCTCATTAAATCACAGTGACCTTCATTGCTGTCTAATGCAGCGGTTGCCAACTGGTGGTCTATGGACAACTGGTGGTCCATGAGGTCTGAAAGGTTGGCGCCTGCTGGTCTAATGGGCACTCACTGGACCTTTTCTTCAACTTGACATTACTGGCTATTCCCTTCCTCTTTGTTTTTGTAAGACTTACTCCAGCTCACTCTTCAGATTTTCTCTCTTCCTTTTTGCAGGTTTTTCATGCCCTTGACCGGAATCGAACCCGGGACCCTTGAGTCCGCAGGCCAAGGCTCTATCCACTGAGCCAAACCGGTTCGGCTATACTTTTTTTTTTAAGATTTTTTTTTTTAATTGAGTTTTAGACAGAGAGGAAAGGAGAGGAAGAGAGAAACTTTAATGTGACAGTGGAACATCAATCTGCGGCCTCCTGCACGCCCCCATATTGGGGATCAAGCCCGAAAACTGGGCATGTGCCCCGACCAGGAATCGAACCAGCAACCTTTCAGTGCACAGGATGACACCCAAGCAACGAAGGCCACACTGGCCAGGGTGGTTTCTCATACTTTTGGTCAGGGGTCAGTAAATTTTTTCTGTAAAGGGCCAGAGAGCAAATATTTTAGACTTTGCTAGCCATATGATCTTTGTCCTGACGATTCATTTCTGCACTTTTAGGAAAAAGCAGCCACAAACAATGTATAAAATGAGTAAGTGTGGCTGTGTTCCAATAAAACTTTATGACACTGAAATACAATTTTCATATCATTTTTACTGTTGTAAAATTGTTGCTTTTATTTCCTTCCCAACCATTTAAAAATGTACAAAACATTCCTAGCTCACGGGCTGTACATCAACAGGCAGGCAGTGAGTCAGATTCGGCTCAAGGGTCACAGCTGGCAACTCCTGCTTTTGACTATACCCTTAATAAGAGTTGCAAGATGGCAGCTGAATTTGGTCATAAGTTTAAAAAAAATCTTAATGTGAAGGTCAGGCCTGCACCCTTCCCATATTTAAGTTATTTGACCACAAACAATCCCAAGCTTAGGCTTTAACTACCACTATGTAAAAATCTTTCCCAAATTACTATCTCCAACTCAGAACTCTTCCACCCTTCCTGTCACCCTCACACTTGATACCCTGCTCCCCTCCCATTATCGTCTGGTTCAAGGAATGGAGTCATTATCCAACCAGCTGCTCAAGTCAGAAACCTGGAAGGTGTCCATTATCTAATCACCATTATATTCTACTGAACCAAAGCATCTTTCTATCACCACTGCTCCTAAACAGGTTCAAATCCTCATTACCTCTCATCTGGGCCACCTACCTGAGCCACATGTCTTATAATACCTCACATTCATTCACTCCCTAGAGAAAGCCAGTTCCATCCCTGAAGAAACAGCTCCTACCACAGTGTTAGAACACACAGGTGTCTCTTCAAGGTGTGAAGGATACTGCAAGTAATTTAGTTTGTTAATTACTTACTCGGGGAAAACCCCCACCTCAAATATCAATAAATTAGAGTAAACTCAAAATTATCCCAACCACCAACATGCACTCACTGTAATATGCCTTCTAGAATAGGCTCAAAAAACAGAGTTGTGACCAATGCACTGCAATGGTCCATCACCCCAGGTACACTAATGGAAAGATGCTGTCCTGCAGGTATGTCCCAAGAAGGTAAAGGTTATGAGTTACTGCTCTGGACAACAATATGTAAATTATTTAAATTTATATTGAGCTGGAAGCTTTTCTGTGTTGCTTTCACTCATCATTGGTACTTTTGGGATAAGAATGGGTCTAAATGAACAAAACATCCAGCAGACATCTACCAAGGAACTGCTAAGTGTTAGGCACCAGAGGAGCCCTTAAATCTTTGAAGACAGTTACTGATCTTCCCCAGGTGGGAAGCCTTCCCCTGGGGGTTAAATATCCCTGGGTGTTTAACTTTCCTAGAGGTGACACAGGTTCACATTTCTTAACCAATCTGGCCCAGATGCCACACCGTCCACAAAGGTTTGTCTCTGTTCTTTCCATAGTGTGGTGCCTATTACGGGAACTGAACATCCCTTTCTAGATACCATATTTTTACTAATGCATCTAAGGTCAGATTAGCTTTTATAAACTAATCATTTCATAGATAATGCCCATCAAGACAACCATGACCTGAATAGTTTTTTAACAAAGCTAAATTGCTATGTCTAAATCCCTCCATTAAGTACTCTATCTTTTAATTTCTAACCTTACCCTTCACCCCTGTTAAATCTACTGCATCAATCCCAGAAACTCAATTCTAAATATCCAAAAACGGGCGATACTAGCTTCTACCTGAGTGCTTTTTATTATCTGTTACCTGGGTAGGAGGACCAACTCTAGTCCATGCCTTCATATAACTTGCAACAGAAATCCCTGTCCTGTTCTCTCCAGAATTTTCACTTAAAAAAAAAAAACGATGGAAGAAGAGTTTTGAAAAGGTTGAGTTCAAAATCATGACCCATATGCTTTCAAAACCGATGAAAGAAGAGTTTTGAAATGGTTGAGTTCAAAATCATGACCCATATGCTTTCAAAACAAGTATCACTTTTTCTAAACTTTTTTACTTCCTGAAAAAAATGTAAGGCTACTACAAAGGCCACTACAAACACCATGACAAGTACTTTTTATTTGTCACTACTGCTCTTCAGTGACTTCAAACAACCAACTTTAATTACTCTACACCCACTCTCACTTTTCAAGTGCATTGGAGGCTCAAGTCAGCAAGAGTGTAAAATCTAAACACAAAAGATTCTAATGACTTAAAAAGCAAAAACAAAACCCAATTTACCTTTGGTTTTTTGTTCCGTGACCTGCAAAATAAATGAAGAGATATAAGTCAATGAGATTTGCTTTCTAATTTGATATTATAAGACAACTTTAATTCCAGTAACTCAAGTAATTCCAGCTACCAGATACACAGACATAGTTAAAAATCCAGAAAAAGACGCTGCGAGTCAGTTCAGACATCCTTCTAAAAACAGTGGCCATCATAACTTACATGGCATCATTATGAAGGACACTAAAAGTTAGAACAAAAAGCATTCCACTCTCATTAAATGATGAAGTCCTTGAACCAGGAATGCTGTTTGCCATTTTGATTGTTAATGACTCGAGAAAAGCACATGGATGTGGCCCAGAAACTAAATTCGCCAGAGGGACAAAAAGATCCCCCTGTGAGTATGGACTCACACACTTGATCTCAAATCTAGAAAGCAAAAGTTCCGAGGCCCATCACCAAAGGCATCAGAGGTCATGCATGGTAGGAGAATAGGATTCAGAATCAAGCTTTGCTACTTCCTGGCTGTTCGATCTGAGTTTTCTATTTATCTGTTGACTGGAGATAATAACAGCATCTGCTTGCAAAAGGTTGTTGTAAAGATTAAACAGATATGCTATGCCAACGTTCAATAAATGTTGGCTATTTTTATCAAAGTTTATGTAAATCAGTATGAAATACAGCAAGAGTGAAATATGTAAATTTTGAACAAATAAAGATTCCTTTGTTAAAAGTATTTTTTTTATATAGTCACTGATATATCTTTGAAAGTGATTAACCTAAAAGGTTGGACAGGCTGAATATAATGATGGGCTATTAGAGAGTCTGGAAAATTATGATTGGGAGGCATATGAAAAACTGTTCCTGCTAATAAGAGAGGAAAATAAAGAAGGGTGCCTAATTATACATGCCCTATAATACTAAAACAAAACCACCAACGGGCATGCATAAAAAAATATCCAAAAGAAAATACTCAAAAAAAGTGCTCCAGAATTCCAGTTGTGTTAATCTTACATTATTGAGATCATAGGTAATTTTGAACCCTTTTCCCAAGAGTTAATCTTCCAAAGCATTTTTATATTGTGTCTCTGACTTTCACAATAAAAATATTCATGTAGAAGAGATTTGATTATTTGTGACTACTAATCATACTAAATTACTGCCATAGGTGTTCATAAAAACATGCTTATCTTTGGAGGGTTATGTCCTGTAGCGAAACAGCCCATTTCACAATAGATTCCAGCACACCAGTGTCAGACATTGAATCTGAATTAAACAATTTACTTGTGTGACCTCCTGGAGTGTTTTTTACATTCTTGCATTAAAAGACAAGCTAATTCTACGGTACTGAATTTCTGGTAGACAGTGTTTCCCAGTACTAATTGTTACAGAGCTCAATTCAACTGTATGCTTTTTGTATAACCCCATTTATCCAAGAATGAACAGATTTGTATCCACATACCAATTCCTTACGGCAATTTAAGGTTTATACTGTTGTAAATATTTCTTAGAATGCCATTATGAAGATCAGTTATACAGAAAGTCAATGTCTTCCCCAAGTGTAAGCGACAAGCCCAAATAATGTCGATGTGTCTTATGATGTGGGTTCTGTTAAAAGAGATGTCCCCCAGATGGTGAAAAGCTGGATGATCAAAGCATGTGCTCTGCCAACACTGAACAATGATCCTTTAGCAGCATCAGCCTAACGAAGGTTAATGGAATCCTTCTTTGACACCTCTCTCATGAATGGAAATCTAACAGTTTACTCAGTGATAGCTCTAGAAAGAACAAACTGCCACAAACATTGAACACAATGGGAAACGGTCATGTTTAATTTCTGTGTCAAAATAATTTAATTTAGGTTTAAAAGTCAATTCTTCAAGAAAATTATGTTGCCAGCACTCATTCTTGACTATTCATTTATCAAATATTTTTCTGAGTGACCCTTATGCACCAGGCACTCACTATCCTAGTTACTGGAAATGTAAATATGAATAAAATCTTGAGAAACTTACAGTCTAATGGGGAAGACAAAAGCAAAGAAGTGATTATAAAGCAATGGGCTAGGCAGCAAAAAAGATGTGGAAGTGCTAAAAAGAACCACAAATGTTTGCTGATTGACTGACTGAAGGACTACATAATAGAACCTCTGGCATGTTCTACACAATTCTTTGCATCATAGCACATTTTATGCTTCCCAGCTGAGGTGTCATCCTATATAATAAAAGCCTAATATGCAAATTGAATGACCAGCAGAACGACTGGTCGCTATGACATGCACTGATCACCAGGGGACAGACGCTCAATGCAGGAGCTGCCCCCAGCCCACCGGCCCCAGGGTGGCCAAGGTAGGTGCCAGCGGGGACCTCCCAGTCGCCCTGCAGATTGGCCCTGATTGCCAGCCAGGCCTGGGGACCCTACCTGTGCATGAATTTCGTGCGCCGGGCCTCTAGTTTCTATAATAAAGTTGAAAACTACTAAGACAATCACATGGTAAGCTTTTCAGTCTCTCCTTAAAACTGCTAAATCACAATTTCATTCTGAAATTTCACAATAGTTTAGTATGATAAAACAGTATCAAAGGCCATGTGTTGGCCTAGATCCCATGTCAGCCAATCTAGAACATTTTTTGAACAAAATGACTGAATTTTTATTGTTCCCAATTAACCATTTGAAATTTTACTTATGGTGATTTTCCCAAAACTTAACCAATTTTTCATGCAGATGCAAGCACACAGAGATAGACCATCCAGCTGAATAAACTACATTCTCTGCATAAATAATCCTAATTCACTCTTTAAAATTTTTTTTAAATTTACTGACTTGAGAGATAGATAGGTAGATAGAGAGACGGGGGGGGGGGGGGGGGGGGGTGTCCCTCACTGCTTTGCTTTTCCCCTTATTATGTATTCACTGCTTGATCTTGTATGTGCCTTGACCAGGGGACTGAACCTGCAACCTTGGTGTATTGGGACAGTGCTCTAGCCAACTGAGCTACCGGGCCAGGGCCCCAATTCACTCTTGAATAAATCCAAACCATCTTTAATTCTGATCATTTTTCCATTAGTAGGATCCACAATGAAAGTTTACAGATGCATTCTGTATTAATTGTTTCTGGATATGGACATTTTCAAGTTAAGAGAACACTATTGTCTACAGAAGGATGAGAATGAACTGCACATAACCTAGTCAGCTGCTCTAGTTGGCATCTTCTTATTCACAGCCTTTGCTCAAGTTCCCTAATGTCCAGCCTATTAACTATCTGTTCCCACAGCTGCAAAATACGATTTTTATACCAGGTTAGTAAATGAAATGCGAATGCACTAAAGGAAAGGAAGCCTTCACTGAGGTTCACTCTCCCATCACTCCAGTTGGAGGGTCAGCATGTATGGGGCATGGGGGCAATGCCCTTAACACTGTATGGCTGGTGGGTGGACCTGCTTATTTGCAACCTCAATGTTGTGGAATGTGGCTGCACATCCAAAAGAAAGTATTTAAAAAGCATCCGGGTCATTATCTAACAACTTTAGTCAAATTCTTTACTATCAATTTAGACAATTCTAACAAGCTTAGGTTAGAAGGAACACATTAGAAGCAGGTACCCTAATAGCAGGAAGATGTGATGGTAAGCACAGCACTATAAATAGAAACAGAAACAATTAAAAGCAGACAAAATCTTAAAGAGCACAGCAATCTATTACGGCACCAAACAATAATCAATATTCCTTTTAATGAAGAAAAGATAAAATACGTTTCATAGGTTTAATATGGCAAGATCATAGGCATTCCAATTCAGAAAATATTTCCAATATTGTTTTTACTGCTGGCATTCATAAGTGAACTAATTTCAATAATTCAGAAAAGTGAATTATGGGAAATGCTATATCCAACAATGCTGGGAAAACTTGCAGTGTCCCTTTTACCTTATATAGCATTGGCTGTGTTTGCCTTGAGTTTGTTCTAAATATACAGCTCCCTCTGAACCTTTTAGCAGTTTTCACCTCCCTAAACTTATCTTCAATAACCTGGGACCACAGCAGGGACCCTTAAACCTGCCTCTCATGGGGAGCCCCTGCTTCCCAAGTGCTTCAGATAGTAGTAACAAGAACAGGAGGAAAATCAATTTTGCCTCCAAAAAATAATCAAAGAAAGCAACCCTGCCAAGCCAAAGCCCACATCAGGTGATGCTTAAAGGAGTGGCAAGGTGAGGGAAATGAGCTCAGACAATGTCTAGGGCAGGCGGGCATGCTCTGCCATGAAGGGAGCCGGGCAAGGGGCTCAAACCATCTCTACTCCAACAGTCCCATGAGACAGACACTTCAACTAAGACTTTTCAGTTGACAGCTGTCTGCCCTTTTTTTCTTTAGCATCTCCTTTCCCCCAAATCCCTCAAAGCTATGCAATGCTCTCTTCCCCAAAACACTAATTAAGCAGGCCCATCAGATCCTCTAGGAGGGAGGTTTCTTTATGCAATTATCAAAAGGCAGGATCATATAAATGACATGCTGGAGGTGGCCAGAAGAAGAGCAAACTGCGGTAACTTTGAAGCTATTCTATGGTATAAGCTTGCTTAAGAAAATGGAGATTAATTATGACACAAATAAGGAAATATGAGAAGAATTTAAGTGTTAGTAAATGTCTTGCCTTTTTCAATATAGTAAACCCTTGATTTTGTGGAACTTGATTTAATGAACAAAACTTCCGGTCCATATGTCACATGTGAAAATCAACACCTGTTAGTTACAAAATGTTTTTAACCAAGATTTGCTTATAATTAATAGGTTATTTGTTGTTATTAATTCACTGTTATTTTTAACAAATTTTAGTGAATAGGTCATATGTTGGAAAAAATACCAGTAATTTTGCTGACATAAATATTACATATCTATAACTATCTTCTACATACTTAAATCAAGAGTCACAACTTTTAAACAAAGCCTGGTGAATGATTAGCATGTGATCACACCACATCTTGAGCATGGTAACTGGTTTTATTGTCAAGGGGTGTGACTTTCTGCTGCAGTTTGTTTTTTTTAATAGTGTGAATGCCATTTTTATTAAAAAATATGTATGAATCCAGAATATACCAGTTTATTACATAATAAAAATCCAGCATTCAATTCAACAGAGAGAACAATTTAATCTAATAAAAGAGAAACATGCAAATTGACTGTCCCTCCACTACCCCCACAAGCCATGCCCACAAGCCAATCAGGAGCAAAT